TTTTTATCGTTGTTTGTTTCTCAGATCATGTCTTTATTTCCTGTCTTATCAGTAAAGGTGAATGTCATCATCACTTCCATAAACAAACACAACCTGATCCTCGATGACATGACCCCGGTAAAACACTCGAATATATTTAACGTAATACTGAATTAATACCCAGAACAATACTATCTTCTATATAACCTCTCCATAATGCAGGTTTGTTTTTGTTTTCTCAGCAATATTCATTAGAACTTTCTTTTTTACGTGTTTGTTCTGTTATTTTTCTACTTATTTGTTAAGCGTCTTGTAAGAGATATATTATGAAGGTGAAACGAGAGGAAAATTGCATGATGGACAAGAACGGTTTTATTAAGCTCTGGCGCCCTTTCCGTGTTCTGCAGCCGAGGGTGTAATCGCCTACAGGAGGGACGATCACGTGTAAGAGTCGCCCCCTGATCCCCTGATTGAGTTCGGAGTGCCGATTGGGGGCTCGACCTCTCCGCCCTGCGATTGGTATTTGAATAGCTGCCATTTAAAGAGGCTAACAGGTAGTTGTGGTAGTTGTTAGTCGTGTGTGGAGAAAGTTGTTGTGGTGGGTAGGGGTGAGGTGATGTGAGAGCTAGTTGTGGTAGAGGGGTGGTGGTGGTGTGGGGGTTGGTGGTAATATGGTGTGTGTCGTTGGTATTTACAAAATAATCTTTGTCTGCTCTACCCTAAACCTATTCTAACCTAACTACCCTACCGTATCCATCCCATCCCATCTCATCTCAAACCAAGTTCCCACCACACACCTTCATCGCCTTTTCTGGAGTGGCAGACACAAGGGAACGTGTACAATTTCCTAGATGAGAGAGAAAGACAGACAGAGGTGCCACAGATGTCAGGAAGCTCTCTCTCTCGTAAAACAGATGCGGCTCGCTATTATATCGCTTCATGACCTATTTGATTTTGTGTGATAGAGAGAGAGAGAGCCTCACAAGTCTCCAGGAGGGTCAGTGTGATCATGAGTGTGGCGTAGATGAAGTAGTTACTGCTGCAGGTAAGTCGTGGTGCCCCCCTTTCCACTATATGGGTCAACCTCCTGACGAAGTGCATAGATGGGTTGGGAGGCTGATAGACGGGTGTGAGTTTAGGAAGGGTGGATAGATTGGGATTTGGGAGGTGTGGATGAGTGGGTATTTGACAAGGTGGATGGGTAGAGTATTTGGGGAAGGTGAGAGGCTGTGGGAGGTGAGGGGCAGTTGGATCTACCCTGGGGAGGTGTCAGGCTAGACCAGACTCCCCGGGGGCTGGGTCATGCTAGTGGAGATAATTCCCACGCCCAGCTAACATTCTTTCTCGACATGCCAGGAGAAGAAGAAGAACCTCGCATACCAGGTAGGCCATTCAAGGTGGCTTTCTTAATTTAATACAAGGACAGGTGGTATTGAGGGCACTGGCGACACGTTTCACAGGTGAGTGCGTCCATGTACGTTGGCATGGTGCTGAGAGGAGGGGGTGGTGGGTGTGGCGTGAGGGGGAAGGGGATAAGGGAGGTTGGGGAAAGGGTTAGGAGAGAGTGAGGAGGGGTAGGAGTTAGGAAAGGGGTGGGGGAGGTGAAGGAAATGTGGGTTAGGGAGGCAAGGGGTAAGAGATGGATAAAGGGAGAGGGGTAAGGGAAGGAGGCAAGGGGTAAGGGGGGGAATGGAAAAACCAAACACGAGAGGAAGTTGCTGGAGGTGATCTTAGGGTTTAGTTGTGTTAGAGAGAGAGAGAGACTTAACGAGTGTGTGGGGAGAGACACAAACGGTAATGAGAGAGAGGTGGACACTCCTTTGTGTGTGGACAGAAACACATTGAAAATAAATGATAATGTGGAGATTGAATTTAAGAAAGACTGAAGTTTCGAGAATATAGTAGAAGAGAGAGAAGCACGAGGAGAGAGAAAGTGGGTTGGTGGAGAGAGGAGTAGAGAAAGTAACTGGTTGAGAAACAGAATAAACGATTGAGGTGGAGAGAGAGAGAGAGAGAGAGAGAGAGAGAGAGAGAGAGAGAGAGAGAGAGAGAGAGATTTTTTCTCCTAAAAAAAATGGCATGTTCGTTGTCAAGTGTTGCCTTAGTCTTATCAGTAGCAACAACCATGAAAGAGGAGGAGAAAGAAGAGAAAGAGGTGGAGAGAAAGCAGAGAAGAAAGCGAGCCAGAGAAAGCACTAAATGGTAAGCAGTTTTAATTACATGAGCATCTACGCCGGGAGACGCAATTCATATTTCAGCTCTCTCTCGGGAGGCGGTGTTGCCCACCGATGAGTTTGTATTTATCCCGTTTTAACCGAGTTTTTATTTTTGTTGTTTAGATTTCATTGTTATTGCTTATAGCTGTAGGTGAGAGAAGTGATTGTACACACGTGTTGTTTATGGCGATTTGGGGGGAGAGTTTGTGTCGGTAGGTCGTAATGGGGGTGTTTGGCAATGGCGATTATTTTCACTGGGGTTGGTTGGGAGTACCCGGTAGATGCCCCGTCCTAACTTTCTTTTCCTCTCTCTCTCTCTCTCTCTCTCTCTCTCCACCCCCATTATTCCACACAAGTTAGAGAGACAGTAAGCGTGTACTGTAGTGGCCATGTTGTAGTGGTTGTTGTCTCAGCTGGAAGACGACTACGATGCTTTTTATGATGACGATAATGATAATTGTAATAGTGTTGTTTTTTAGGCAGTACGTGAGAAGGGGGACTGTAAGCGCGGCACTGATTGGTTAAGGGATGCCTACTTAACCTCCTGTTGAAAGCTCGATGTTGATTGGTTAATGGATGCGTACTCGACGTTGATTCGTTGTTTGATGGAGGAGAAAGGCCTTGATAGATCCCTAATGACTGGTTTGGATTGATGCTTAATTATGGCTGTGGTAAGCTAGTCGTTGATTGGTGGAAAGAAAGAAGACTTTGTAAGCGCTGTACTGGTTGGTTGAAGGATCGATTAGACACGCCCACATTGTTGTATAACTACCTCAACCACACCCACTCTGATAATCTCACCACGCCCATGCCAGTATATAATTCTTGAAGTCACGCCCACACCTGATACGTCACCACGCCCACACCTGATACGTCACCACGCCCACACCTGATACGTCACCACGCCCACACCTGATACATCACCACGCCCATACTTATATGTAATTCACGGAGCCACGCCCATACCTCATATATAGCCACGCCCATACCTGATACATCACCACGCCCATACCTGATACATCACCACGCCCATACCTTATACATCACCACGCCCATACCTAACACATTACCACGCCCATACTTGATATATAATTCATGGAGCCACGCCCACGCCTTCTATATCGCCACGCCTTCATCTCGTATGCGCAGTGGACTAAGTCTCGTGATGGCAGTACGCAGGTGAGTGACCCCAGCCTGACCCTCACACACACACACACACACAGACTAGTACCTATACACAGTCTCACACACCGCGTTGAATCAAGGCACATGTAATACAAGCTAGCAATTTGCATACCGCGCTATACTCTGGGCGGGCAGTAGTAGCTGTTACCTGAGCACTAGCGCCAGCAGTACTAGCAGGACCCGCTACTTACAGATCCAGAAATAGCTGCTGGTTGCTATTTTGGCTCCGTAGTTGCTCTGAAGAGGATGGGGTGAGTCTCTGATAAGTATCGGGTTTGTTTGGGTCTAACAATTATCGGTTTTGTTAGTTTGTGCTAGAATTATCGGGTGGTTTTGTCTTCGATTTATCGGGTTTGTTAGGGTCTCTAAATTACCTTTGTGTGTGTGTGTGTATACAAAAATTTGTCGACACGATATTAAGAGCTTGTTGATACCTTCATAGTTATGTTACTTTCCTCACCACCACCACCACCACTATCAATACCCTCCACCACAACTATTATAAACACCTCCACCCCCACAATAACCACTACCACCTCTACAATGAATACTACCACCTCCACTATCAACACCACCACCTCCACACAGCTGTTATGGAAATTGCCTGCATCTCTTCATTGTCTCGCGAGCAAATCTTGTCTGATCCCTCGTGTTCCCTGAAGCTAAGGGGGGAGGGGTGGAGGAGGTGGGAGAAAGGTGTGGAGAGAGAGAGAGAGAGAGAGAGAGAGAGAGAGAGAGACGGGCAGAAGGAAGTAGTGGAGAGGCAAGGTGGACTTCCATTATATAATCATTAAATCGATAGGTGGAGGGTGGATGGTTGTGAGAGGGGGAGGGAAAGTGTGCTTGGATGGATGGATGAGAGGGAGGGAGAGTGGATGGTTGTGAGAGGTAGAGGATGAGTGGGGATGTTATAGAGAGGGGGGAGTGGGAGGGAGGACGAGTCTCACCTGGGCTCGGTCTATCAGCCTGGGGGAGAGGAGGCAGGACAGGAGGGTCAAGGTAGATCACTGTGTGTGTGTGTGTGTGTTTTGTGCCCTGGGCTACCATTACCACCAACCACTACCACTACCACCAACCACTACCACCACCACCACCACCAACCACTATTACCACCCACTACCAACACGACCACCACCAACCACTACTACCACCACCAACCACTACTACCACCACCAACCACTACCACCAACCACTACCACCACCACCAACCACTATTACCACCCACTACCAACACGACCACCAACCACCACTACCAACTACCACTACCCTATCATCACCTCCTTTACAACCTTTAATACCTTTCCTACAGTCGCAACTACCTCACACCTACCACCACTACAACCACAATTACTACCACCACCATCTCTATTATTATTATTTCCATTGTTGGTGATAGTTAATTAATTACTCAGACATCCTAAACTACGGATCTTAACATAGATAATTACTTGAAGCTGTTGTCTTTGTTTTATGTATGTTCATTCATATAATTACAAGATAATTTTATGTATAATCCACGTAATATTTGGGTTTATTGTTCACCTAATAATTTTGTTCAGTAATCACCTAATAATTTTGTTCAGTAATCACATAATAATCTTTGTTTCTTTCTGGTTGCAGACACTGAATGGACCGTCTGTGTAGAGGCGAACAACCGAGGTAAGTACATAGTCCACGGGGTACAACCAAGGTCACTTACGGAGCATTCACTGAGTCACGGGGCATTATTGAGTCACGGGGCGTCCACTGAGTCACGGGGCATTATTTCTTTATTCTTTTATCTCATCCATGGGAATATACTGTAGATAAAATAATTCTTGCAGTTTTGTTTACTTTATATTTGTCATTAAGTTGAGCACACCAGCAGAAGATACAGCCATCGTGTTGAAATTAGTGTACCTGTATTTTAATGGACGTCACCTTTATGATACACTCAGCTTATTAGAATTGATTACACCTGCTCTGCTCTCTAGCGCCTTCAGGTAACACGACTTTAACCCTTTTGAAGAAATATCATTATACATAGGGGAATAAATCATGGTATTCAAAGGGTTTTAAGAAATTGTACTCAAGAGCTCAAATGGTTAAGTCATCGTGGTTAAAAAAAAGGTTCGGGTTTTCATCATACCCGAACCTGAACCCCGACTCATGAATCCGATGCCGGACGAGAACCGTAATGGGCGGACACTGGCTAGGGGAGGGTAGCGGAGGTCAGGGCCGCTGGCAGGAGTTGGGACAAGTTAGAGGGACTCGAGAACTTGTTTGGTGGAGTTGTCAGGAAATATCCACCACCACCACCACCACCTCCTCCATTGCCTCTACCACCACCTCTACCTACAACCACTACCACCATCACTTATAACAAATACTAACACTATAACTACAACACCTCTGCCACCTACAACAATCACTTGTACTACCACCATTGCTGCCACCACGACAAACACATCCTCTCGGCTAACACCATTTCTTCCTAGCAGTTGAAATTCCGTGTGCGTGTGTGTGTGGACTGTGGCAAGATAAATAAATCACACCCACACACAGTGTTTTCTGGGTCAAACCACCTGAGGGTGGGGTCATAAGGGCGCTATGACAGGAGCCCCGCCTTTATTGACCCGCGCGTGTGTGTGTCGGTAAATGTGTAATAATAGTAATATTTAACTATTTATTGAAAGAAAATGGCAACCAAAAGGCAGAAAATATACAATAAACAGAGATGATAAAAGTTACTCACTTGGGGAGTTAGGGGCGGTGACACGACAGGCAGACGCTTCCAGGGTTGGGAGATTTATGCCACGATCGAGGCTTGTTGTGGCGTTACCTGACAGCATGACAAAGCCCTGCGGTAGGGTGAACTTACATCACGTCATATTCGTCCCTATTGCTGTGAACTTACGACACGATGAAGCCCCGCCTCCTCTTAGTGTTACGTCCCTACAGCACGACAGAATCCTGCAGTGGTCAAGGATTGCGAGTAAGTTATGACACAGCCTAACCCTAAGGGCCTATATGATTTTTTGTTTACCTTGTAGCGTCTGTAGTGTTTTGAGTATGTCAAAATAAACGACTTGCGTGTTGTGAAGTTTGTTTACACGAATGACGAACAAGTCTCGCCCCCCCACCAAGGCACACAAGTGAAGACAGAACAACACAACTCAGTGATATGAGTCAGCATTGCACAAGGTAGGATACTTTGTTGCACTTCAAGCTTGTACTGCCCAGGGGGGACGGGTCGTTAGAGTGTGTTGTGTTGCAATTTGTGTGTTGGGAGGGGAGGGGATTGTTGCAGGCTGGAAGAGGTGTGTGTGTGTTTACTCGGTTCTTGGTACATCTCAACTCCTCCAGTATGGATGTAGGCGAGGTGATGACAGCTCAGGTGGAGTGAATGACCACCCAGAGTTTGTTTATTTTCGTGCCTACCTTTGGCTAGCTGGAGGGAGGGAGAGGAAAGGATGGCGTCTCCTCCAATTCCTCCTCCCACTTCATATTATCATTGTCATTGGTTCAATCAGACTTTTGGAATTTACACCCTGTAGACCTATACAACGCATCAGCCTGTTCGACCCCCCACTCTTACTGTAGATGATATAGCCTACACGGGTCAGAAATCATTCACTCCGACGTCAATATCCGTTAATATTTTGTTTTCCATATTGATCTTTACAACTGTAGTTTTCGTTTATATGTGGGGAAGATTATTGATGTTAATGTTGATTCTATGGATGGCGTGAAGATTAGGCACTCTAGTCTATTTCACCTGATGATTAAAAAATATCCTTATGATAACCTAACCTAATCCCCCCAGGTAGCGTTAGGGTGCTTTATGATCAGGTAAAGTGGAATTAACTGAGATACAGTAATTAATTTTCATGTGATCCGATTTTCTTTGTGTCGGAAATGAATAATTCTCTGACAGACTGACAGTAATGTTAATGGTTAGGAATTATTATGGTGTGTGAAGGCCAATGAGTGTGTGTTGATGCTGATTAATGACCTGAGAATTCTTACGCAGCAGGTGATTAATTCAGTGTACACTAATGCACTTTGTTGTAAAGGTCGTGTGGCTGGTCTGAGGGCGTGGGAACACTGCCTTGGACATTTGTTATTACAGTTGGTCTTGGTTCGATTACGATAAGTCTGTAAATAATTCATACCCTTTCTCTCTACGAGTTATCTCTTCTGTTTATTGAAAGAGCACGGCAGCCGGAAGGCTGAAAATATACGGTTACATAATTTGGGAATGGGTCTCTTGATTGACAAATAATATACAAGTGATACAAATATGATATATAATAACTAGGTGGGGAGGTTATTCTACAGGGCATTTCAACATAGTGACAGTGCAAAAGGGTAAGATTAACTGGGAGTGAACACACTGGTTGGTTACGAGTTGTTGATAATTTTTTGCAATGCTTGGGACTGGGCTGTTCTAGCGATCAGTACGTGCTCGTATGGGCTGGATGCGGTTGTGGTGTCGAATAGCAATTCGTGGACGAGGGATCTCGGGTGGTAGTAGGAGCTGGTATCGAGGATGGTGCAGAAGCTTCTCACCTAATTTGCAGATGAGGTCGTGGTGGTGGCCAGAGAGAGCCGAGTGTCAGTGTGTTGAGCGCTTCTTGATATGTGGAGTAAGGAGGGGGAGAGAATAATCTTGCATGCCCTCTTTTGCACTTTTTCTAGGTGTTTCATGTTGTGTGTGTAGACGTGTCGGTACATGTATGTATGTGTATATGTGTTAGTACGTGTATGTACAGTATGTGTAGATGTCAGTACATGTGTGTGTGCTCGTGTGTAGATGTGTCAGTACATTGTGTGTGTCAGTACAAGTATGCGTGTGTAGACGTGTCAGTACATGTGTGCGTGTGACCCACTAGCCTGGAGAGGGCCACGGCGGTTCCCACAGTTGCCACACCTTATGTTTACCGTCTCGCTTTTCACCTTAGTGGCAACAATAACTTTTCCCGCGGGCGCCCACCTTGACAAGCACTCCACCATCACACGGTACTGGCTTCCCGCATTCTTCACCATAAATACATTGAATTCCAGAGGATACAGACTGTAATAATAAAAACTAACAATTCTCACGACCGTTGTTCTTCCGGGTATTTGTAATAAAAGGCCAAACTATTTATTACCTTTACCACTCCGCCGTGCAGGTACTGTTTACGGTCTTTGTGTGTGTGTGTGTGTGTGTGTGTGTGTGTGTGTGTACGAAAAATCTCACGAGTTTCGCTTAATAATTATATGAATATTTGTCATATATTTCGGGTACCACGTAAGGAAGAAATGATAATGTGTTGGTGAGTATAGGTCAAATATGAAAGTGTACAATACTGCATGATGCATTATGCGTTTGGCATTGGAGTTATTAAGGGACTGTGCTGGATGCTCGCTGCCAGTCAGGTCACAGGAACTTATCATACTCCAGTTGCATTCACAGGCCAGCAGGGGGACTTAAGTGAGATAGGCCTTTTAGTTCCCGAAATCTTTTGAAGTGTTGTGGTTGTTTCATCATTAACGGATGTGTTGTGGTGTAGCCGTAACATGAAGTCATTTTTGTGATATCTACAACAGTTGTGTAAGTAAATTATAAATTGTTACCCAAGGGAAAATAAGATTATTTATAGAGAGAAATTCTATGTAGTGCCTAGAGGGAAGTGATACTAAGATCACCTCACCTGGTTACTTGTCTGATTCACCACGACAGTCGAAGGTGACGGGGTGAGTGGTGTTGGGTCCATATCCAGGGTTGGTAAGTGTCCTCCTTGGTATTCACCCCAACTAGTGATCAACCTTTCTGATTCTGTAAGCTTCTTTGTTTAATTATTATCTTCTAACTAGGGATAATGAGAACTTATCTGAGTGCATTTGCGACTCCGTGGTGGACTGTCGGGTTTGTGTCGCATCAATTTAGGGTGTAAGTAATGAACGAACCCTTAGAGAATCCGGGTATATTCTTATTATTAGAATCTCTAGTCGTGAATGTTGACTCGGCTTTAATTCTTAATTTCCCTTTCCATGAATTTCGAAATAAGGATGATTTCTATGCTGGTTCTTTTATTTTATCCAAGAATGATTTGTGGGGTAAGAATCAGTCAGAATATTCCCATAGTTTGCGCCCGATTTGTAGAATAAACTATCTGCTGACGTCACACCTTGACCTGATTGTCATCTGTTTTACAAAACGTTTGAATAAGAACTTGTTAATTACAGGCTTCGCGTTTGATATGGCCATTAAAATCTTCCACAAAAGTATTCAATCCTGACTTCCGTATTTCGATATTAAAATAGAATGTAAATAATGTCATAGTATCCTTGGAAATGAAAATTGAATATGGTATAATTGTTTCCACCGGGGGGAGCGGAGGAGGATCTACCCCCTCAGGTGAAAGGACAGTCTCTGGATTTCCTAAAGATAAGAACCCCAGTTCATTTCACCAAATGGTTAAACACCTTAATGCTAACCTAACACAACCCAAAGCAACCCCATTTAACATTAGGGTGTTCATTCATTACATTAGATTGAATAAGCTGGAGTGCCAAATCTTCACGAGATCCTTTCCCCTTCAAACCTGAACAAATGAGGTTCCAAAGTTACAATTATATTTTATCAAAAGGAGGTGTTCAAACTTCAATCCTTTTATAGTTTTCTGATTTTTTTTAGCAATCAGAATACTTTCATGAGAACTTGTTTACTATCTACGTCATGTGTATCAATAATCGAGTTCAGCATTAAGCATGACAAAGGCGTTGTTTCTAGAGGACGAGGCACGAGGCTACCACAGGTCTTGTCAACACACTGGCGGCCACCTGCTGTTCGTCCTGTAAGCGTCATCGTCACTCGGTTAAAGCAGTTTTTTTCTTAATGTTTGCTTGCCACTTGATTGACGTAGGATTTAGATGAAAAAATAAAACAATGAAAGGGTTGGAAAAACGAATGTTACCCTTGCATTATGAAGTTCAGTAAAAAGGCAGAAAAAATACTTCAGTTCCTCCTTCACGGATAAAATTTTGAGAATGGTAACTTCCTGTGTGGTGAACTGTCGCCGTGTTTGGGGGGTGACCTTGTGCTAGGTGCCGGGATGTCCTGAAGAACTGTAGCAAGAACCCAGGAACCAAGTGACACCCGCCGGGGTACCCAGAGGGTCACACTGCCTTCCTTCCTGGTTGGGGGCCCACCACATGTGTGTGTTTGTTTTCAGCGCTTGATTGTCTTTCTATGTGTGTGTTTTTGTTTGTTTTTGCGTGTGTGCTCGGGTGTGTGTTAAGTGCACTTCCGGGAGCAGCGGTGAAGGAAGGGAGAGGAGGGGGTGGTGAAGGGCGGGTGGGAGGGGATCGGTATTTACAAAGAATGCAACAAGTGCCACATGATGCGAGGAGAGAGCGAGGGTGGGGTCAGCTGCCATCACTCACCTGGGGGGTCGTGAGAAACCGCAACCCATACTCGTTCACGACGTCGGAGGTCCTAGTACTGTGACTGGGTGTGACCTAGTGTTGTGACAGTGAGGGGGGAGTAGTGACAGTGAGGGGGCGTGACCTAGTGTTGTGGCATTGAGGGGAGGGCGTGTGACCTGGTGTAGTGACACAGTGAGGGGAGGCGTGTGCAGTGTTGTGACAGTGAGGGGAGGCGTGTGACCTAGTGTTGTGACAGTGAGGGCGTGTGATCTAGTGTTGTGGCAGTGTGGAGGGGGGGGGCGTGTGACCTAGTGTAGTGACAGTGAGGGGAGGGCGTGTGACCTAGTGTTGTGACAGTGAGGGGAGGGCGTGTGACCTAGTGTTGTGACAGTGAGGGGAGGGCGTGTGACCTAGTGTTGTGACAGTGATCTGATGCCGTGATTTTGAAATTTAAACAGTTTATATAGCAAAGTAACTCGTGGTGATTTGGCACCCAAGCTAATTTCACCGGATGATTAAACACCTTACCGCCACTATTCTCGCCAACCCTCCTCCCGGGTAGCGTCTCGGGTGTTTAACCATCTGGTGAAATAAACTGGGGTGTCTAATCTTCACGTGATTCTTAGTCAGACTACTGTAGATACAACGTGAGTAACAACAGTATCGAAATGGCTGAGCTCTGGAAGGCACCTGATAAATAATGGATACAAACTGGTACCGCCTCAGCATAAAAACATCAGTGATTTAATGTGTATCAGTAGTTTATACGCCTTTACTGTAGAGGATTCATAAATTAAAGTAATTAATTGTAACTATCTGTGAGAAGTTACTATTTTTGGACAACATTATTAAACAATACGTCAACTACAGTAGTGTACCTCAAAGACGAGCCACACGTGCACTGTCTACCTCCAGTCTGCTGCGGTGGATTTACTGGTTTCTTTCCCCTGGTGACTAATTTAGGAACTCTTCCATTGTTTCACTTTCAGGACATCATCATCTTGTTCAACTCGATACACTACAGCCTAGTCATGATAAGTGTTGTATTAATTACTGTAAATGTTGCCCACTTTCACCTTTTATTTGGGGGGGGGGGGTGGCACTTAAGTGGTCTTTGTTTCTGTGCAATACCTCAAGTGTGCCGCAGACATTATTTGCTTTACTTGTAGAGAAAAAAAATCTTAGTGTTGCGTCCTCTCCTGGCTTTGAGTTTTCACTTTAATACACTTATTAATCCTTTTCTCCTTCTCATCCATATTTTATCTCCTCTTCCACTGCATCATCATCCTCACTTTTCTTTCTCTCCTCCTACCAAGGTTGTCCAGAACTTAAAGGCGACTCAAGACTAGGCTAGTTCCCTCTCGACGCTCTCCTGCTTTCACGTTGTGTAAAAGGATCACATGATTAGCCCCACCTTATTTCACCTTAAGATTAACCACCCGAGCGCTAATCTAACCTACCCCCCCCCCCTCTTCCAGATAGTGTTAGGGTGTTTGATTATCTAAAACAAGTTAGGGTGAGTTAATCTTCCTGTGCTCTGATACTTCAATATTCGTGGTATACCGGTTTGTGCCCAGCTTTCAGAAAATAAGCATCGTTTACTGTTACTATTGTAGTTATTATTAGTAGTAGTAGTAGTAATAGTATGGTCATTGTTATTTTATTGTAAAGTTTGTCATTAATATTGTTATCCACTGTTTCATTACCTTTTACATCGTCGGTGTATGTTCTCGTATCAGAGTTCCTGTGCTCACTCCTTTCTTATCCAAATTCCGTTAAAATGTTATCTGTTTGGTTATATTGGCTGTTTAATGCATCATATACTTCGCTAACATTGTTCACATACAGAAGATAGAGAACGTTAAGAAACACCTTAAGTCGTTAGAGAACTAGAAGTTTCTCACTGTCTAATTCTTATCTATTGATACAGTTATGTTTGGGCTTCGTGATGTTATTTCATGGTTTTATTAATCGTTTTTTTTCCTAGAATGTCAGTGTATTTTTATTTTTAGTCAGGATGTCCGTTTTTTTTTTTTGTTGCTGATGATGACGGCGAAATACAAGTTTCCATGACATTTATGTACCTCCTTTAGTAGTGTTCTGGTGTTTTTGATGTTCATTAAATGTGTAATGAGTGTAACGAGCTGGTCGGGTGGTGGTACGGTGACCGGCCAGCTGACGTCATGACAACAAACAAGCCACCTCGCGGCTGGCACGACGCGCGCGCCATAGCCTTCTTCAGGAATGTGAAGGTCAATGATTAATCGTACCATCCCCCTCCTATATACGTTAAGTAAATTCTGGAAAACACGAGGAAGTATATTTATGTTGTTATCAAAAGTTAAAACTACGGTATAAGCTATGGTGTACGCTGAATGAGAGTATTATTTTGGAAGACGAAGACGTTGATCAAAGCTTGGTGTTAGCTCGTGTATTCATCTGTGGTTACCATTTTCAAATGTATTCCATTGGGAAACTTTGGTCTGTATTTCGATTTTCGTTAAATACAAACTCAATAACGGTAGGACTTATTGATAAAAGTATTTCCTGCGCTATACTGTATAGTGTATATTGACACTCAAGTAATTATACAATTTACTTAGGTTGTTAGGTCACAGGAATTTGGGTTGTGGCTTATTAATAAATTTTGCCCATTAATTTAATGCTTAACTCGTGTGTTTTACATTTCCACAAAGTAGACCAGAATAGTCTTGGCTTGATTTTATGCTGAAGATTGTTTTTATTTTACAAATATTAACCAACAGGTGGAAACTTAGAAAACTTAAACCAGTCTGTTCCCCAGTGCGTGTGTGTGCCGGCGGGAGGTTGAAGAAAATTGCTTTTTAAGACTTTCCCTCTCCAGCGCAAATAAGGGTATCATTTTGTGACAGCAACTTTCTTACATTTTGTCCTGTGAATGGAGAATAGCATAAAACTTAACCTGCATTCATCATAATCATGCGCTCACCAAAAGCTTTTATACATTCATTACTTCATTTACAGAAGAATTATCTTGTGTAGCAGAAGTTGAATCTTTCATTTATTTATGAAATAAGGATGAGATGGGGATACATTTGTTTTGTAGTTAAAAAACAAACTTGTTGACACTACTATGTTATTATTGTTGTTGTAGTAAAATATTTGATGTAACAGTTGCACTCTCATATAACTAGCAATCGTGGATGAGGGCGAGGGCTGCTTTTCCTAAATAAGGTTTGGGTGGCTCCCGTGCTGCAGGGAAAACCTCCAGACGTGCAGTAAATTATTGGGCGAGGCTTGTCCCTGCCGCCACCACCAGTTGTTTGATTGTTGTTCTACCTGGTCGACACTCTTATATACCCTTATCATGTGTGTTACTTTCTGCTGTAAACTATAACAAAACAAAGATTAGTAATCCGTTTTCACAAGAGTTGGTGTTCTTTCTTTTTGCCTTAAGTTTGCGTTTGTTATTTTACCTCCTGGCTCTGACCAATCGGATTGTGGATGTAGCATCTGCGTGCAAGCGAAAGTTGTCAGTCTATTATCATAAGTTTGTATGTTCATCTCGCCGATGGGTGATGCTTAGATGCCAAGACGGTTCCACACAAATGGCTAATAATACATCCGCGACGGGGGGTGGGGGAGTTATCTTCAAATGTGTTTTTAAGACAAAATGACCTTTGAAGTAATAGTCCCTAACAAATAATTATTCCTTACATATTTTTGGTAGTGACATACTGAAATGTTCTTTGCTTTTAAAGTACAGGTATTGAGTTGGCAGTATCCAAACGTTATCGCTAATATGTTATTGTCAATATATCTAGTAGAAAAATAAACATTATCGGTGAAATATTGTTCAGTGAGTAATAGCATTATGTATCATTAATTGTATTTTGGAGTATAAATGAGTGTCCAGATGTTATCACAGGAATCTAGCACTGCCGTGTGTGTGGCTTGTATTCATTTCTCGTGTAATATATTTGAGCATACTTGTGGAAATCAACACTCTTTTCCTCTGCAGATGACGATGCCGGGGGAAGAGCCAGAGCATGAGCGATATCAGGTTGCAACAGAAACCGTAGCAGCAACAGGAACAGCCATGGAGAATAGCAAGTCTTTAACGAGAAACAGCAGCCAGGAGGATGAGCAGCGGGAGGCAGGAGTGGAGCAGCTCACTTACAGCAGGATGGCACACCTGCTGGCTGTGTACCAAAACAAGGTACGTTCATCCCCGTTGTTACACCTCCAGGGGCTAGACGCGGCCGAGAGTTTGAGGGTTCACCAGTTATGTCATGTGCTTTTTGTTTAAGATTACTGTACCCTTATGCTGTATAAAAAAAAAAAAAAAAAAAAAAAAATATATATATATATATATATATATATATATATATATATATATATATATATATATATATATATATATATATATATATATATATATATATATATATATATATATATATATATATATATAATGTCAATCAACAGTCCAAGTCCATTATATGCTGACTTCAGTATGCAAACAATACCTCACAAGTCAGGAATCGAATCCTGCGTGGAAACATTTTCAAAAATAGTTTCTGCAGTTGCTGGTTTTATCCCACGAGACTCTAGACGAGTGTTTTCAGAAAATATAACTTGTTTGAAGTTGTTTGGACTGGGCTATCCAACCATAACCGTTTTTTTTTTTGGCCCGACCTTGCCATCCCACAAGCCTGGAATAAAGTAAAATTTAAATGTATACTCCCATTATATCTCAGGGATGGTTATATGCTGTCATGAATTCCTTTCTTTTTTTCCTTGGCATGTCCCTGACCAAGGAATGTTGTGGTCTGTCTGAGCGTGCAACCTGAAACTTCACAAAAACTTGGCATCATAAGTTTAATAATCTTACATTAATTATTGGATGAAACAATTTGAAACCAGGAAGGCATCGTCTTTACCACTGAAATAAATGAATTTTGGGAGTCATGGGGTTAGGGGTCAAGGTTTCACTTGCAAGAAATATTCTTGATACCAAAAAAAATATAAGTACAGGGAATCTTACAAATTTGAAGGGATCAGTTTCGAAATGAATAAGGCTCATTGTCGTCTCACAGATACTGTATGTGCTTTTTGAAAGGTCAAAGATCAGGCTATATGTTACTATCAAACTGGCCAAAGGGCTTTCTGCACTTGTTTGAATTTTGTGTTAATACACCTACGGGTATCTTTTTTTTTTCTTTCAAACTTTAACCCCCTTGTTGATTGAGTTCTAGAGTATCAGATTGAGTTTACATAATGTTGACCTTTTTTTTCAAAGTAGTACTATACTGTATATGTGAATGTCTTCTGTAATATAAAATAAACTGTCTTTGATAATTAGGCTATTATAAATATTGTCTACAGTGTACTGTATATTGTAATTATTTTTATATTTTCATTTTCATTTAAATATATTTTATTTCTTTGAAGGTCCGGGACAATAAAAGAGTCATTACAAGATTAAAACGACAGAAAGATGCCCAGCTGCAGGCTGTGATAAGTCAGTTATTGTTACTTGAAGCACATCTACGGCGGGAGCAGAAGGGGATTGTTGGGCAGCTAGCTCAACGTGACCATGTTATTTCTGCTCAGAGACAGGAGATTGACCGCTTGAGAAGGGATAATAGACGGTTGATAAATAAGTTGAAAAAATTTAATGAAGTATGCATGGAATCCAGAGATATGGATCACTTAGAACCAAGATTGAAAATTAGCCGTGTGGAATCATCAGAAGAGAGTACATTATCAAGTAGTAAAGGCCGTAGCCAGTCTCTGTCTTGTTCCCCACCCAGTCGTAAATCTTCCTCGGGCATGATACGTGTGGCTACTAGTGTCTCTGAACTAATTAATTGCAGTAATGACTCAAGTTTTTTGAAACCTCAACAAGCTCTTCATCACATGAGTGTCCGAAGCAGTAGTAGTCATCCTACCGAAACTGTGAATCCAAATGTGGCCTCAGTCAGAGCTACAACAGACCGAGTGTTTCACAAACCACCCATTGCTGAAAAACCTCGGGTTGCCAGTCGTGTGGTGCGAGGTCACCAGAGTAATCAGAAAGGTCAACACTTGGTTAGAAGTTATGGTGGAAAGCAGTGCACAATAGTATCTACTATCAGCCGTCTTCTGGAAGAAGAATCTGATGCCACGACAACGGGTGGTTCTGGTAGTAGTGAACCCTCATCCCCAGAAGCCACTCTTAAACCAGCAACTCCAAGAGTTATACGCCTGGCAAGGCAATTTGAAGAAGGTCTTAACTCCCAAAACATGGCTCTTTATGTTAATACTGGCTCCAGTGACTCCTCTCCTGAGTCACTAAGGCAAGAAGATTGTAACACAAAGTCATATATCATGGACGAATATGAGGTAAGTGTTGATAGCAGCCCGTTTTGTTGAGATTTAAATACTGTAAAGTGTGTGTGTATATATATATAATGCAAATGTTCAATTATTTACATTCACCACAGAGAATGGTATTTTGTAAATGCACTGTACTTGAATAAGTGATATACTACTGTACAGTACAGTATTACATTTACTGTATTACTGAACCTGTTTGTATGCTAATTTAAGTAGTAAACCATTAACAGTACAGAAATTTTATTAGAAAATATTTAAATAAGGAGAGCCTTTCATTGTCAGTCAATCAGTCAGTCAGGGAACTTTCATCTAATTATAATTTTCAGGTAACAAGCGGGTATAACAGCGATGCCATCAGTGATCATGAATATGAAAATGTTCGTGTCTTGACTCAGGGAAGTAATGACAGCCCCTCCAAACTTGCAAAACAAGAGGAGGGTAAAGAAGAAGAGGAAGAAGAAGATAACTATGTCATTTTGAGAGCAGTGAAGGAAAATGCTGATGCTGGTAACTGGGTAAGTTATATATCTTAGATGCTTACTGGAAGTCTTAATGGTCTATTTGTGATTTTTCAACATTTTGAATGCTGTACTGATCCTATTAAACAAGTTTTGTTTCCGACTACAAGGAGCAACTATAGATTAACATTTTTTCGTGTGATCTTGAATGAGGTATAAGTTGTCATTGTGGATATTTAAGCTACTACATTGTTATTCAGATTGACAGTCACGTCATATTAAAATAATTTTTGGTATTCTTCAATCACTAAAGCATGTTTTGTATTCACTATAGGTTGATATCCCAGAAGATCAACATATCTACTCAAATGTGGAGTTTGCATCTGGCTTGCTAGTTAAGGAATTGGAGAGTGAAGAGAGAGAAGAGGAGCCTGTTACTGAATATGTAGAGAAAGATAAGCCAAAACTACTATCAAAAAGCAGTAGTTGCAAAGAAGGAAAAAAGGTGCTAGAAACTGACCTTGATACTCTCAACACATCTGCCACTGATGATCACTTGGTAAGTAAAAAATCTGTCATGTTTGAACACAGCATTCTCATTTTATTCACGGACTTATATACCTAGGTCTTTCAAAACCCTCTTAACAATTTAGTTTTTTACAGGCTGAAGTTAAAGTAATTCTACTTCTGGCCTTGTGTATATAGTACAATACAGTTCTGGATATGAGTTCGTTAGTTCAGTAGAGTTGCTAATAGTTTGTTTATACAGGGGTGTATATCAAACAATGTAGATACTACCCAGTACTGTATTGGGAAAGATTTATAATAGGCATTAATTACTGTAGCATTTGCAAGTATAGTTTACATGTACATTACTGCACAATATGAAACTACAGTATAAAGGCATAAGATGACTGAATATAAAGTACAATACTGTAAATGCAAACCTTTGTGCTAATCTCTTCCTTGCAGTTGTCAGAGAGTTTAAGGGCAGCTATGAATGTACCCCGGTCACGACATAACATCAACCTTATCATGGAGTCAGATGGCGATCACATGACAGAAAATTTTGAAGAGTTTACACTTGATTCCCTGGAACTAGAGGAAGATCAGGAGGATGAAGATGGGGGACGGGGGAAAGAGAACTTGCCTGTCTCGGAGCAGCGACGGTGTGGGGATGGAGCAGAAACAAAGGTACAAATGGTAACTTCATAAATTATTTCAAATATTAAATTAAAAGTACTGTATACTGTTATGCTTATTTTTGGGTGTATATTTCAGGAGTTATTTTCTTTGTCATATTGTTATGTCTCTAATAAATTTAAGTTTTATATAAAAAAAAAATTGTGTAAAAACGGTTTTCATGTTTTTTCATTGAATACAGACAGTTCAGATTTATCTAGATTTAAAGTAGAGATTTCTACATGTGTCGTACTCGGATATCCACAATACTTTACATACCCGGTATACAGAAATGTACAAGTAATGCATTTCTCTAAAATAAAAGTAAATTCTCTCTTGCAGTTGGATAGTAAGATGAATGAAGAAGGTAAACTTGACCTCAGTGTCAACAGTGCATCTGCCAGTGCTGCCTTGATGGCCAATGGACAATATGAGAAGTTTTTAGAGGCAACTGGACTTAGTCAGAAATCTATTTTAACTCCAACTCGCATGTTCTCCAATCATCGGTGAGTTTGTTAGAAAAAAAATGTGTGTGCTTGCATATGTGTAACAATTTAGGAGAACTACTTAGAATTTTCAATAATCTCATTTAGGTTGAGCAAGACGCACATACTACTGCTAAATACCACAGTTGTAAGAGCCTGCCATTACCCACAAGGTGTGCACATTTCTCAGCAAGTAACATTCTAATGGACACTATTGCTGAAAAGGTTAATGTATTGCAGCCTACCTACCCAGTCATGAATTTAGTACTTATCTTAGGCATCTTTGGGTGGGATTCTCAGAGTTAATTTGCTCAAGCCCCTTTGATCTGTGTCTACTTCATCCAATTCCCTTTGTTTCCTTTGTGAAATGTCAGATAAGAGAATACTATTTATCTTTGAACCATGTTTTAGAAGCGTTGACACCTTCAGGAGACCCCAGAATGAGATTGGAGGCCTTTGAAATGTGGTGTTTATAGGCAAAAACTAATAGAGAAATACTTGAAATGTACAGAAAAAGAAAAATGAGATACAGTACTGTACTTTGGTCATATAATTAGGGATGGACAGATAATAACAAGTATTAATAGGCAAAGTTGAGAGTAGGAGGGCCAGGGGAAGGCAAAGACTGGAATGGGTGAATGAAATTAAAAACCGGGTCCCCAAAGAGATACAAATCCTTGGAGGATTAATAAAAACAGCCTGAGAATGTTTAGAGTGGAGGACTGTGGTTGCCAACCCTCAGATATGATGATAGTATTCTGATTGAAGGAAACCATAATTTTAAAGCTTGTACAGTATTGAGCAACAATACAAACTGGCAAGTCATGTACCAAACATGCACAGTCTAATATTGTGTAATCAAATATTAGTACTGTACAACTACTGTATTACCAAAGTGACTGCATAAAAGATCGAGCAGAGATCAGAAAAGAGTAAGGAAAGCGCTTTTTCCTTCAAACTTGTTCTTAGAATATTAGTTGTAAGGTGTTGACTCTCTGACTATAGGGTGGAAACTTAATTTGTATTTTTTTTTCTCCCTCACGTTGTTAAGAGTTAATTTATGTGAATGAGCTGTTTAGTTGTAGCCCTGACCTGGTTTATCCCACTGTTTTTGCCAACAAACATTGAATTTGTGTGAATCTTTAAAGATTCTACTGTGTGGGTAAGCTACTGTACAGTGTATTCTCTGCTTGCCGCTATACACTCCATTACAGTAGATTCCTTGCTGTCATGCACTGCACACCTTATAGGCAATGGCAGGATCTGGAGTGATGTGTCATGCAGGTCTTGCAAAACTTTGTAAGCCATAAATGACAGTACAGCATATGAGGTCCAGGACACTCCTTGCAACCTGCTTCAATTGGTATGCCATGCTATTAAATCTTTAATTATTATTTGTTGTTAATTCAAGAAGAAAGATTCCAATTAGTCAAAAAATCTCATCAGGATACAACAACATTAGTCAAAAAAAAATTCCAAGGAGACTTTATCTAATAATAACAACGCTTTATTCCCCAGGTCTGTACTAAAGCCACGAGACATCAAACATCGTAACAAGTTGCGAGCCGCCTTTACCACGCTGTCAACTTTAGAGGAAACACCAAGCTCTGGTGCAGGATACAGATACTGGACCGAGCCATACCTCTAGTGTCTACCTCACATCTGATACATTGCAAAATTAGCTGTGATGAGTCTTAGCTTTGTGTTGAGTTATGATAATTTTCCAAATTATTTGAATAGGAAAATTTGGCTTACGGATATGTAGTTTAAGGCTCATAGTAGCTTGTTTTGTAGTGTAGTTCTCAGATAAAATAATTTAACTGCTTATCATTACCACTGTACAGTATTTTTAGTGATAATGAGGTGGATTTTTTTTCTTTTCCTCACTTGAATTTCTGCTTTTCTTTTGTTTGAAAATTTCAATTCATTTATATCAACACCATTCAATAATTAGCAAAGAGAATAGCAAATGCATGAAACTGTGACAAAACTATATAAAAATATTCAGAAATTTGATTTTAAAATTCAAATCACTTGCCAAGTTATCCTGCACAGTGTGTGTATTAGTAATGCAAGAATAATTTCAGTGAATGTGCAATTTATCTTTATTCAAACAACTGGATCGTTATACTATTGGTAAAATATACTGTACTCTTGAAAATTCCCTCTTATACAAGTACTTAATTTCATAATCAAAATATATTTAAAACATGTAATGAAGCTACCAATTCTAATAACACGGTACTGTATATTATAAAAGTATTTAGCAAGTTAAAATTTAATTACTTTGTAATGCCAATTATGAACTCCTAAGGCTTGAAATTTTAAGTTTCTTTGATTATTGTATACAGGTAATATATGATTTTTCTCTTCATTTCAAAGAAACTTTTACAAGAATTATAATCTTTGTTATTCAGTCTGTGCTGTGAAGCTTTACAGTTTTCAAAGAACTCTTGCACATCCCTTAAGAACTGTTGATACCAGATATTAGCCTGAAGAATTATTGATATTGAACTCTGCCTTTAACTGGTAATGATGTGGACACTACTCAAGGAATTGTTGATAATTAAATGTTGTCCTCAAAACTGTATTTTTTGGACATTTCCCTAAAGAATTGATAAGATAGAAACTGCCTTTAATCACTCGTGCTGGACACTGCTTCAAAGAATTGTTAACACTACTCGTAAAATCTGATACTGCTGGACACTGCCCTCAAGAACTGTGGATATGATAGATACTGTATTATACATTTCAAAATTACTTTTTCCACTGCCAGATTCAAAATAAATCTACAAATGTACTTTTAGTATTTGTATAGAAATGCTTGTTAAAATATCCAAAATAGGGGTAATTTTAGTCTCGCATGAACAAGTAAGAATCGGAACAATCTTTAGGCAAAAGTTAGTGCATTCAGGAACCTTGGTTTAAAGTTTCCATGTATCCCACTGAACGTTCAAGACTCGAGTTAAAAAAGCCAGAGGCCCATAATGATTTCACTATTGAACATTGTGACAGTGAGAATAAAAGCAACATGGTAAGAAACTGCAGGTATATTACAATTACTGTACACTATTTAGGGCTTATTGAAGTAGTCATCTTTCTTTGAAATGATGTAAGGGATCTCTGGCCAATAACCAGCCAATGTCACATAATATTTGTTTCACCACATGAAACCATTTTGTTCCAGTGATCTTGCACTACATGCACATGCCTGCTTTACCATATTGACTAGACATGATTTACCTGTGTGTATGTGTGTGACCTGGGGAGTAGTGACTAAATCATTCTGATGGGACACTTCTTTATAAAAATTACATTAATCATAAGGTCACAGAATTGTCGCCCATGGGTGTTTTTGCTCCTTTCCTTAGTCAGGAAGTCCACCTTAATATTTCCTCAGCCACCCTCAAGAAAATATCCGTTTTCAGTTGGATAAACAAAGTTTTGCTACTTTTTGCTTTGACTAAAAATCATGCATCAGGAACTCGGAATCCTTCATAACAGATGTTCTAGAATTGTTTGGCTAGAGTGCATTTTGCATCTGGATATTTGTGGGTCTCTGACAACACAGATTTTGTAAGCACATTAATTTCTTGGTTTTGTTTTTTTGAAAGTTGCTTTTAAGGCATCTTTGGAGGTATGTTCTAAGTGAGACTTTAGATAGGGTCACTTACCAGAAGATTTAGAGTTGTCAGGTTTCCCATTACAGTATAGGTTGATAATTAATCATGTAGAGACATGAAACCACCCAATTTTTTTACAACCTATTTCATTTATTTATATATATTTTTTCGTTATATTCCTTGTTATAAAAATTAGTTGCTAGAGGATTTTAAAAATGGAATGCAATATCAAATTTGCATTTACTTGCAGCATTACTGACGTGGCACTCATTCTCATTATTTCATATACAGCATTGTTTATGTGGGAACTTAGAAAATTCACTCGGTATTTATTATTATTTTTTTTAAGGTTATGCATGCTAACTACACTTAAGTTGCTGCACATTTCCTGTCTTTGAAGTGTCAAATACTATTGCAGCTTATGACTGTATGTTGCTAGTTTCTGCTTCCTCCCTCCATCATCTTTGTGGAGGTTTGCAGGGAAAGTGGAGCTAGTAAAATGTGAAAACTTGTCTCTGTAGTGTATATTCATGTTTGTGAACATAATACTTACATAGACCAACCTTGGACATTGTCCTGCAATAGGATAATTATCATAATTACACTTCTGATGAAAATGATCATGATTTTGGCACATTTGCAGCAACTTTATTAAAACAGCACCATTGTTAAAATTACAGTACACCCCTGGACTTACCGGGTAATTAGCAAATCGGTTAAGTTGTTTAAAATCAAATTTATAGTGTGGTCATTGAATGTAAGCAATACATATGGGAGGGTCTGATTACCAATTAAAATATAATTAAAAAATACAGTCTCGCCTCGACTTACGACGGGGTTCCGTCCCGACGACCACGTTGTAAGTCGAATTGGTCGTAAGTCGAAAAGGCAAAAATAATATATAGAAATTCTAAAATGGGTCTCTCTTTTTTCATCTCGGCACCATGAGAACTCTCACTTTTACGCTTTCCAGTCATTTTAAAGGGAATTACAAACGAAAATTTTGTCCGTACACAACCCGATCACTAACGTTGGGACTCGAAAATACGTAATGTGAAAAATATTTTATACGACCATGGCTGTCGTAAGTCGAGGAGAGACTATTGGAAGTAACATGAAATTAGGCATCAGTGTTGTATGTAGGTGCTGCAAAGTAATCCAATAGTTGCAGGTAATGGTGTAGAATAAAGAGTGAGCTGTTCATGTAAAAACAAGTGTATAGTGGTTGAGAAAATAGATTAAAATTCTTTAAATTGTTTTGCATGGATAATACTGTACTTTCTGCAAGTATTTTTATAAATAATTTTTTTAATAGGGATGATAGGGAATTTTAGGGTGTATCATGTAATTTTTTCTATACATTACTTTTTTTTACCAGTATAGTGGAGGGTGGCCATAATCATATGTAAGGTATGGTAGGTGACTGAATGAAAGAGCAAATGTTCAATACTACAACAAAGATTGCAAGGACGAGTCATGGGTTCAAAGCATTGTTCAGAATTTCATATTCTAGAAAAAGCAGACATACTAAATAATCATGAAGGGTATTGCTAACACTTCAAAGGCAATTTACTTAGATGGTGTGGTTCTTAGGAAATGTTGACCAAAAATGTAACCAAGTAAGGCGAATAGAATTATTTACATGAGAATGGAAGTACAGTACAGTATGTTAAAAGGACACAGCCTGGGAATGTGAGAGGACCATATTGATAGGGAGAATTTTGCTTATCTTCTCTTCAATAAGCATCTACTTGTTGTAGAGAAGTCAGTTTTTTTAGACACGATATTAGACAGTTCTTTGAAAGCTCTCTGTCCTGAGTCCAATAATTACCCAAATTAATATTGTCGGACAAATGCCAACATTGTTATTAACAGCATTTTTGGTAATCAGTTATATTAACATAGTTGCACAAGATGACTGGCAGCTGTAGCTGACTATGGTTGCTTTCAGTATCGCAATGTGATTTCATTATAGTGTACCAGATTTTTATTTTATGCAGACAAGCATAGTTATTCTTTCAAAATAAATATTACATTTTGTGGCAGTAAGTATCATTATTAAGGATTTATCATAGAATATTGAGATAGGGTTATGTAGCAACATCTTTAATGGGTTGATTTAGTTATTATTATTACGCCCTGTTCCATTGTAACGAGGAATATTTTCCTTTTTACTTGTACAAAGAGGGTAGAGATTTCTTTGCAGTGAATTCAGCAGTATTGTTCTGACAAACTAGTCAGGGTAGCAGTAAGAGTAAGAACACTTTTCAGTTCTCATTGTTGAATGTAGATGATCTGGCACTTGAGTAAATAAGATTTGAAATGGGTTATAGTAATTAATTCCTTACTTTTAACAAGACCATTATCCCAAGAAATAAAGATCCTTAACCCCTTGACTATGAGGAGTCTCTGCTGAATAAGATCATCTGATATCAGCCAAATAAAATCTAAAATGTGACATCCTGTAGTGAAAGGGTTAATGATAACTTGCCAAATAATGATCCGAGTTTACTGTATGTATTACAGTACAGTACAGTACTTGATATACCCGGTACTGTCATTTGAAATGATACTTGAAGATTTTGGACTAGTCCCATTTTGTTTTATAGACTAGACTGTATTACCAGTCTTTTGTCTGGATTAAGCAGTTTGATATTTCAGGAGAATGTGAGATACGTCAAACACTTTACGAATAGGTGTTATCAGTGCAAGTCAATGTTACATAAGTTTTGTATCACTTTTCCTCCTTTTCTTCTCTCACTTTTGGAAGACATTTGTCAACTCCTTCAGAATGTGATGTCGAGTTATGTGAACTTCAAATGGGCAGCAGTTTAGAAGTCTAAATACTGTACAGTTTTGTACGTATATTATGAAAATTTTACCAGGTGGGACAACATGATGGAATTAATAGAAAAGTATTTGACCAATGTTTACAAGTATCACACTAGTCTTTAGCAGATTCCTTTCAAGTGTCTATATTTCAACAATTTTCTCATGTGTTAAACACTTAACACATCCTGTAACTGTTATCTATGCTCAACTTTGGTAGCTATGCCATATATATTACTGTAAGTTAAAGAATATTTATGTTAAAGTAAGTGGTCATAGGCTGCTGGTTATATCTAAAATTTTCTAGCCAGCCTCATGCCTTTAACAGATTTCCTATCAGTGTAACAATTTATATATGTAATTAACACTTCCAAAATGTAAATAATAAATTTATATGCATGCATTTTGCCATGCCAAATTCTCTCCTATGCATATATCATAAATAAAGTTATTAAAATCTATCTCATTCATTGTACAGTACCTAACTTGGTTATGTTTTATAAGTTTTAATTTAAGAATGACTGAAGTTTTTCACTTGTATTTACAGTGGATCTTCAGAACTAATGAAAAATTTTTGGATGCATTGTCAATATTTGTTTTACATAAAATTCCTTATTTATTATGCTGAACTCAGCAGATTATACATAGTTCTCACTCGACCAAAATTACCAACTGCAATCATTCGATATAAGAACATAAGAATGAAGGGAACAGCAGTGGGCCTACTGGCCCATACTGGGCAGTACCATTTACACCCAACCCCTATCGCTCATATATCTATACAACCTATGTTTGAAGCTATCCAGCGTATTCGAGCTAATGATGTTTGGTAACTTGTTCCACTCGTCCACTTTTCTATTACCCTAATGACACCTTGGGTTGACAAAAGATTAGTACAGTACAGTACCTGCTCAGTGAACTCTTATTTGGTGGAGTAAATTGGATGCAACTTTTGAATTTGCATAATGAGAAAAAATTCATTTGGGCAAAAATTTGTTTCATCTTGAAAAGTGTTCACCAATTTATAATTTGCATATACTGTATGGAGTGCAAATACTGTAGTGTGAACTGCCAGTATTAAGTACAGTACAGTATGTGTTTTCGTAGCTGATTTAAAACTTACTTCAGAGAATGGTGAAGTGGATGTGTAATGTGACAATGAAGGACAGGAGGCCTTGTTGAGAACTAAGAGGGCACCTGGGTGTATTGATGAATTCTAAGTAAGGGCAGGCTGAGATGGTTTAGATGTGGAGAGAATGGATGAGACCAATTGGGTGAAGAGGTACAAGAGTCTACGGCAAGTGCAGAAGGGGGTATGCCAAGAATGACATGGGGGGGGAAACGTAAGAAATGACATTCGAGTTGGCCTTGTAAGAGACTGCAACAGGGAAAGTTGCTATCGGGTAACCATGGTTAACTCAAGTAGGCATGGAAAATGACCATAAAACAACAGTAATGAGGATGATAACATCAGATCCACAAGCATTATACTAAAATATAAAGGAGGTTCAAATAAAGAGCTTAATTATACTCAACGTTATACGGTTAACATCCAAGCCAACCAAATTTTAGGCGAGCGAGTTGAAGTGACCCTTTTCCCGTCCTCACAGGGTAATGGTCATCTCCGTGGAAAACTCATCACTGCAATGAGCTAATAAGAGGGTGCCCACTAAACGGGCCTCCGCTCTGCGTGGGGTGAATAAGAATATGAGTTGAACAAATCAGAGGGAAATGGTTCCCAGCATCGATAAGCACTAAGAGAGCTTTCTTTACTCAAATAACATGACGGTGGCCTTGGCTATCACTGCCTATCAGTAACCACCAGACACTCAAAACCCCACTGAGCTCTTTATAAAATCTCTAAGCCTTCCACATGCATAGAAATTCCCCCGTAACCACTTGAAGGATGGCAAATTCATTGAGAGTCAGCGTGTTGCCTTGCCAGTCGCCACACACGAACACAAAGACCTCTGTCACACTAATAAACGTTTTATCCTATGCAGTATACACGGACTCAAGGAGCATAGTTCAGTTTTACCAACATCCTAAGGACGTAAATTTTAGTAATATAAATTTCCGTCCACATTGTTTTCTAGATAATGTTCAACCTTTAAACTGTTTAGCCTTTAAAGCATTACATTTCTAACTCATTCGTGCTCGACAGTATATAATCGTTTTCTTGAATGAAATTGGTAATATACCAGGCAATTCGACCAAGAATAGCCAACAAAGCTATATCTATATCAGATGCTTATTTCCACTAAAAATAGGGTCCCCCTTTTTAGGCTAGGATATTAATCAGTAATAATAAATCTTCAAAAAATGGGAAATTTATGGTTGAATATAACAAAGAATTACATTGCACTTAGACTATCCAAGACTAATGGATCACTTTAACAATACATAATTGCTGGTAAAGACGAATCTGGACACCATGCTTGCATTAGGTTTTCATATTTTAGTGTTCGGGTATTCATCAGAAAGGATCGTTCATCATAGTGAGTGATTGGTATTCCACACTTCGTTTCAGTTATTTGGGCATATAAATGTAACCTGAAGTTGATAAAATCGGGATATTTTGTCAGAATGAGTGGTAGAGGTAGCCTTGAATCTTGCTGGATCCTGAAATTCTGAAAACCAAGCTTATGATGTAGTCTGTTATAGGCTGTGTTGGGCCTGTTTGTTTATATAACTGATTACATATGATCTTCCAAATTCTAAACATTTATTATGAAAAACTATCAATGCTACAGAAAAAAGAATCAAGATAAATAAAGAAGAGCTCATTTTTTTCAAGCCGTAAGAGTTCAATATACAGTAGGTTCCCTTTGTGGCTCAGTAGACATTGAAACGGTATGATTTCCCTCCATACATTTTGTATTATATCACACAAAACTTTTCTAACAGCCTCATGTAATCTTAATTTTGACATAGCCCTAAAGTCCTAAAGGAAAAAGTATCTTTATTAGTTTTTCATAAGAATGTTTAAAATCGGGTATTGTAGATTGTTTGTTGTCACCTTAAATGATCAAACAAGCCCAAAGCCGCATATACAGTATACTTGCATATGCTACCAAAAAAAGACAGATCCCTGCCCTTTTGGGTAATTTCAAACAATTTAAAAGGTCGCGCAGTATCCCAATTATAGCGGGTCGTGTTTTTTTAACCATATTTAACATGTTCTGTCTCCTCCACACCTACTTGGATGGTCCTGTGCGCCTCGTATACTAATGTCGCTCAGCAATTTTGATACTGTTCTTGTCCTCATTTTATTTGTCATCGACACTCTTTCAAGCGGGTTTCCTCTTTCTTGTGTAATCTTCGCTAAGGAGTGGTGGTCTGTAATGGTTGGCTCTTTGAGGGACGTTTGCGCATTCGCCTGTTCCTCTCAGGACCGCGGGAACCAAATTTTATCAGGGGATGTTGAAATTGTTAAAATTTTTAGTTAATTAGAAATGTTAAATACAGTGTACAAGCAAATATTAGCCATTAGTTTTTAGTTTATCATTGTAAAAACCTAATTTTTAAGGGAATCGAATTTTATTAAACTGTGCCTTATGTCCAGAGGGTGTTTTTGTAAATTTAAAATGCAAATTTTAAAGCCACAACTTAAAGGGATATTATCAAGGCTCAACATTTCATTCCTCTACCCATCTCAGTTCACGAACTTTTGAAACTATATAAATTACACAAATCACAGGATGTTATTTTGTTTTATATAAATTATATTATACTCTTTGATATAACACATGGGGAAGAGGAAGGATATAAAAGAGAGAGGTATTCTTGATTACAAAGTTCGCTGATTCTGTTACTATGGATCCCCCCTACTGCCCGGCTGTCGCCCCGAGCATATTCCCGAAACGGATCAATACTGCACACTGCAACCCACATATGCAAGTCCCGCCATCAACCATCTCCCAGTTTCGCCAAAGTGGAGGTGACTCACTCTTGTTGCCGGGGTCACAGGGACCCAAATTTCGCATTTGTAGTCTCATGATTACCACAGACTTAGGAGCGTTTACTAATTCAGATTTCCATTTTTTAATTGATTCTACCTACAACTCGATAAAGGTGACGCTTAAACAAAAGTACCGTGGCTGTAAAATGATGACACATTCCAATAAGGATAATGTTACTATACTTGTATTAAACAGAGTATCCACCAAAACAAACTGTGATGAGCGCCATCTCTAGGTAGCGTGATAACTACATTGGTTGCCGTGGTTACTCTCCAAGCCGGTCGGTCGGAGTGGTGGTGGTCGGTACTTCCTCCCTTTACCCTTATCTACTCTTTATTATGCTCTCCTCGTTCTCTCTTGCCGCTGTTTCTATCAATGCCTTCTTCAGGTGTCCCAGTCACAAGCACTGGATTACCGGTTTTGAACCCGTCTTTTCTTTAATCATATTTGTTTTATTTACAAGCTGTTTCCTTCTTGTATTTTAATCTTCTTAACCTTTTCGAGTTATTTTTTGTTTTGTCCTCCCGTTTGTCCGTTTTTCCACCTCATCCCACCCGCTTCTGCTATGATTCCTTCTGCAAAGATTCATTTCTCCTTTCTCTTCATTTCCTCTGTTCCGTCTTCTCACAGTGCTTAATATCATCTTTACTGTCTTTGTTTTCACATATCTTCATTTAAAAATATTTCTCTTCGCAAAAATCACAATTTGTGCAAGGCTATAATTTGTCGCTCCCAGCATAATTTTTCCATTCATATTTATTTATCACATTCTTTGCTTGCATATCAAGCGCTCTTTATTTATGGAATTCCAATAATGGTTAAGCTGCTGGACGCAGGGGTGAGAACCGAAGGGGAGTAGAGGGGAGAGAGAAAGGGGCGACCCTTTTTTCCCCTGCAGTTGCACCGGGAACTGTCGCATTATTGCTTTCAACAGATGGCGGACCTGCAAGCAAACATTCAAATTACTCCTGAATTCGAAAGTAATGATTTGCGAAGAATATTTTTAATGTGCTTATGGCTAGCCATACAAAATATAAGAATTATATTTATGTATATTAAGTATAATGAAGTTTCATCTCTCATCCATTGGGAAGTCAAATAATCAATAATGGACACTATGTTGCCTTTATAATTTAGAGTTCCTCGATGTGCCCTTTTAATCTAATTACAAACATAAATTATATCCTTAATCTTGAATTTGAATGAATATTGAAACTACTGACACACTGAATTTATATAATTTCAATGATTGCTGCAAGCAAACCTCGTCTTGACATGAAAAAATATATTAACTTACGCTTTAAAATATTTAATTCTGAATAATAATATAATTAATGGGGTAAGAAATGCTTAATATCAAAGTTAACATCGGTTTTCAATGTGTAAGTAGCAACATTAGATAAGAGCCGTAGGAAACATTAATCATGGTAAGGAAGAAGGAGTTTGTATTACCCGCGAGAGAGAAGCTCGTCTGTGATTGGCTGATGGCCGCTGAGAAAAGTTGTTTTGGTGAACAATGGCGGACCTGTGGCGGAGCTGGGATCGATCCTTCTGTTGAAAACCTGATTATTTTCCTTTATTGCTGTATTAGGTGAGACCATTAACAGTGCACGTTATAGTATAGAGGTGGCAGATGTTATGAAAGTAGTTAAGAAATATAGAAAGTGAGAGGTGTTAGTGATATGGATGAAGATAGGAGACCAAAGCTCGGTTGTGTAGTGACAGATCGCCTGGACCCGCCGCCAAAGCTATCATGAGTCTGCCTGAACTTTCATTCCCAACTAGCGGGGAAAACTGTTGGCTCAGCACACGCACACGTACTCTACAGATTAAAGGCAGTATTCAGGACTGTTAGTTATAATACATCGACTTGTGCTTGTGGAATTGTTTTTTGAAAATGATCCTGTCCATGGCATCACCTCCTCGGGTTTCTGCTTGCTTGCCGTGAATAAAACCAACACGTGGACCTGCTTGCCTTGAGTTAACTTATCATATTGCTAAGTACGCAGTTTAGGTTAGTGTGTGTGTGCCTCTTTGGAATTTTAGTTGGCCTAACCCTTGAAGTGTGTTGAAATACTGGGAAATTTGAATATCATGAAGGCGGCCAAGTAAAGCAAGTTTTTTGTATTGCTTTCAGGGGTGAAAGTTATAAAACGTCCCAGATTAACTTATTTAGTCGATAAAGTATGACTAACTCTAGACTGTAATCACTTATGGTACTTAATAATCTTGAATTTGTTTGTCAGTGATACTCACCAAGTGTAAAAGTGTTGTTGCTTTGTGTATTTGGCATCAATCTGGTGTTGATTCTTGTGGGTCTTCCAATCCCTGTAGGTCAATCTATAACTTGATCTCCTGGTTACAGATAGGATAAACAATGATGTGATGCTTGTAACAAATGGCAGCATATTTTGTATTCTGGCTGAACAGACTTGCTGCTGATGCTGAATGTTTTGCTGGCAACAATGGTGAAAAGTTTCCAGTACCAGATGTTTGGCAGTTGTGCTTCTGGGAATGTAGAGGATTTAGTTTCAACAGAAGTAATGTCAAATAACTTATCCTTTGCAGAGAACAAGGATTAAAGTTTTTCTTGGTTTTAATTAGCTGAATATATATTATGTTATCGGTCATTTTTTTCCTAAAAGTGTTTTTACAGGATTTCAAAATTACCTCGATGTAAGAAAAAAGTGTGGGACATAAGGAGAAATTAAAATTGAAAGTTATCAAATAATTAATCCATCCATGCAGGTTTTTATTAAATAATTATTATTATTTAATTTTAGAGCATTTTTAAACAGTACTACTGTATCTGGTGATTTTGAAGTTTAGTTTCATGTTCATCATAATTGCTTATCTTCTGTAGAATTTTCATAGAAATGTTTTCTTTTATGCATAGAATGGGAATCTGGTGTCGGAGCAAGGAAATAATGACTGGATTTATTAAGAAGTGGGAAGCAGGCTTGGCTTTTGTTTCTTTAGTGATTTGGTAATTTAAAAAAAAAAAATAAAAAAATATTGTATGCCTGATTTTTAGTAGGAAAGAGCCACAGTGTAGGAACCTGAATGCCCTTTACTACTCATAGGTAGTTTTTATTAATATACCCTGTATAAGCTGTTATAGGGGTCTAGGGCAGTAGACTATCCTCTATCTGAATCTTATGTCTTCATCTCCCTTCACAATTGTCTCCCTTAAAAAGGTGGATTGGAAGCAGGTGGCTCTTTAGAGCCAATGACTGTCACCTTATGTTCATAGATTATAATCAGCCATTTGAGATTCAGTTGCTACATCTGCTTACCTCAGCACAATTGTTAATGTGCAAGCTCTTCCTACTAATGTTGAGCAAAATATTGTGCCCTGTACTGGTGATGCTTCAAAGGAAGTTCATAAAATTTACTGCAGTTCTCAGTGTTATCATTAAAATAAGATTGACATTTTGCATTATCACATCATTTCATTAAGTTTATCTACATAGAACTGGTTCTTCCAAGTCTGAGTCAGCATCTCAGCAAGTCGACTGGTTTGAGCACTGGGTTCCTTGATTAGTTTGTTAAGGCATTACTTCATGCCACATTTTTTTTTTTTTTTGATTTAGCAATGACTGGGACTTATCCTGGGAAGGTTGCAGAAAGGTGGCTTTATGGTTTGAGGGAAGCCATGTGTTGGTCTTGGCAAGTGAAACATGGCTGTGCACGAGATTTATGTGCTTATGTTTAATTTTCATATTTAGATTATTTATAGATTCTTTATTGATCTGCATGCATGCTTGGATGTATACACCCCATTTCGTCACCAAAAACACCCATTTTGTCATCCAAAAAATCAATTTCGTTACCAATATCAAATCCGTTTGTCATCACTAACAGACCGTTAGTCGCTGGTATTAGAGTGACAAATTCTAAGTTATTATTTTACACGAATGTAAATTACACATGTATATAGACGACTCGAGAATTATTGTGTTATTATTATACCTGTACATGAATATTAATTATTTAATACAAAACGATTTAAACAATGGTAAATAAACAAAATACAGAACAAGTGCAGGCGTATTAACAATGTTTTTATTTTTGTTTCGTTTTAGCCTTGCATGAGTAATAACGTTTTTAATTTTTATTTTCTTCTTTAATAAATTGTCTTAGTGAGATGCTTGCATGATCCAATGTATTGTTATGCCGAGGCATAATTTCGTGTTACAGTTTTGAAAACTAGGTGTTTTGATTATTTTCTATCCCAAGCAACAGTTATTTTGGCAAGTTTAGTGAATTTTTCGTGTATATATTGATGTTTTAATTATTTAAGAATTTTCTGGAATGTATTGCAAAATTTTTTTGGAATAATTTACTTATTATTGTAAGCCTCGAAGACATTTGTTGTGCAAGTATTGTGGAATTGTTGTGATTAATATAAAGTGAGAAGACTAAGGAATTGTACACTGGTAGTGTGCCGACTATACTGTATATTCGAAATGTGGAGTCAAGCTGTGTAGACATTGCCCTGTTAACAGTGTTGTGAAGAATTAGTGTTTATTAAAGAGGAACTACAGTGCACAAGTGTGTTTCTGTGACCTGGTGGATCTCTACCTGCCGGTTGTTTGACTGTACACTGATGCCGATCATTGGGAAATTACCGGAGACTGGCGGGGCAGCCAGTGGTAATTCGACAACACTTACGAGATATCTACTGCTTCTGATAAAAGGAGGGCCGTAACAGTATGTACACAAAGATAGTAAACCAGCCATTACGTCTTCACTGCTTCAGTGAATACATAATGAAGGTCCAAAGCCCTTGAAATGGTGATGGGAATGAACGCGGTGATGAAACGGGTAAACAAAATGTGGTGATGAAATGGGTAAAAAATGTGGTGACGAAATGGGCACACACCGCTTGGATAGATCATATCTGTGTACTGTGTGTAGTTTCAGTAGGAGTGGCCTTTGAAATTTTCCTATTGTTTCAGTTAGTTTTATGAGGTACCCAACAATCATGTATCTGCTGTAAATGGGACTGCCCAGTATGGGCCAATAGGCCCGCTGCAGTTTCCTCTATTCTTATGTTTTTATGTTCCTAAATATGTGGTTGATAATACAATAAATATTATTTTATCATTACTTCTGTTGCATAAACAATGGACCAGCAAAATAGCCATAACCAATAATTTAGCTAGTACCAAAGTAATTTGTGATTGTGTCAGTTATCTATGAGCTCATTGGCAGAGTTGACAATGTTTTGGACTTTCATGAGGAACAAATTAGTTATGACGCAAGACAAGTGGGGTTGTGTGGACCATAATTTCATAAGTGGCAAAAGAGAATAACACCAAAAAACGTGGTTAAAGTTCGGAAAATGGAAATCACTATGTCTTGAACTACAGTAATTGTAATAGTGCAATGATAATAGTAACAAATTGAAGCTTTACGCACTGAGGATTCTGTTGCCATAATCAAATAATAACAATCTTGTCATTAATGTATAAATAATCAGGAAATTAATCATAACCTTAGTAATTTAGATGCATTAGATTTTGATTAAATTTGAATACAGTAGTTTGATATAGGACACTCATGTACAGTGCCCCCCAAAATTAGCATTAGATTTTCCATTGCTATGATTTGACACACTAGACAAAATGCTTTGATATGATCCCCAGTGCATAATTATAAGTTGATATGTCTGGTCACCTTATCAACAACAGCTAGAGATGAGGGTAGGGTTGGAGGACGGAGTCATCCTTGTATGGCAGACTAGATACATTACTTCAGTATAACAAGAAATCTATTGAGCTATATTAATGTATGCACTGTATATACTCATTTATGCTCAGAGGTCAAGGATGTAGAACTACGAAACAGGTTGAGTAACATTGTTCGGAAAGCCTCGAATCACGTCGACCCCATGGCTAATGATACTTTTGGGGGGGGGACTGTACAGTCTCGTTCAAGATTCTTCGAGCACTGCTGGAGACAGCTGGCAACTCAAGGCCGTTTGTTTACTATAGTATGCAGTAAAAATTATGAATGAATGTAAAAGTGATCGGTGATTGGTTACTTAGTTCCCCGTTGCTTAATTAGTGGTTGGGCTTTGTTGTTTCATATTATATTATACTACGTAATATAGTAAACAAGCGGCCCTGAGTTGCCAGCTGTCTCCAGCAGTGTTCGAAGAATCTTGAATGAGACTGTACATCTTAACTTATCATAATCAATACTGAAATTGTCTGCGAGATTATAGTGATCACCATAAAAATCACCCGAACTGCATTATCTGGCAAAAAATTGAAAGATTAGATTACAGTACAGTATTGGGGAATTTCCTTCTTAATGGGAAATTGTACTTTTTTCACTCCTCTATAGAAAACAATCATTTAGATTCCAAGAAGTGAATGTTTAGTGAAGGTGAAAATTAATAAGGATTTAATACTCAGACTGAGGATGTTAGGTTCTTTTCATAGCAAGTCCTTTAAAGTCAAAACTTAGGTTTAAAGGAATTTTATCACACTTATGTTACTATAGAGCCTGACAGTTGTCAGACCCTTACACCGTGCACAGCTTACCCAGCTACAAATGTTTATAAATGCCTAACTCATTGATTTGTTTATCCTGTAATGTTTTTATGATTTTGTACTGTAGTATTGTGTACATATATCTCGCACAAGAATTTGTATATTTCCCTGGATTAAAATTGAATGACTATGGGATGTTATATACAGGTACTGTATTTCTCTCAGTATATTATTTATTAATTGTAAAGTAAATTTATTGTAAATTTGTTTTGTAAATATTTTTCAGTGTTTGTAAAAAAATCAAATACTGTACAAATATAGCCTGATTTATGAAAACAAAATATAACCGCAAAAAGACACCATTATTTCCATTTCTTTTAATTTCTTTTAATTTTTAGTCTTAGGTAGAAACTGGAAAATTACCCATTACAATACTGTACTGTATCTATAATTTATAGTAAAAATTGTTATGCAGTATACAAGCCAATGACATTTTTCAAATCCTGCTCCACGTACCTGTACGTATTTGACAACTCGCCAGCAGTTTTAATTTTTTTCTCTATCCAAGCAATTTATCCTATACAGTACAGAGATGTCTGGAATGCAATTAACAAGTGAAATATAAATTCATACACTACATATTGGTACAGTAATTGGAGTGTGTTGTTCATTTTAGACAGGAACTATACAGCTGCATGAAGCTTCTGTAAGTGACACACTAGTATACAGCTGTACATTTTAGGATGATGTGGATATGTATTTCTTGACATAATAAGTGTTTAAATGTGTGCCAAACAGAGAGAGTACTATACAGTATACTGCACTATCATTATGGTATGTATAAACAATCCTTTTGTGTGCTTAATGTGTGTTTGTTGTTTGGTGAGCTTTTTAACTTCATGAAACCACGACCAAAGTGGAGTTTCCACTCCAGAGTGGAGTGGAGACTCCACTCTCTCACTCATTCAAACTAGTTGCCGTATACAAACAAATGTGGTGGAAAACAAGTGAACTGTGCGGTGCTCACTGCCCGCTCTCCCTTGACTCTTCCAAAACCGTTAACGAAAATTGCGAATTATGAGAGGCTGGAATTTTTTAAAGTACATATACAGTAGACCCTTGCCATTTGCAAGGGATAGGTTCCAAGAAATGGTGCGAATTGGCAAAACCACGAATAGCAGCATATATTACCTTAGTGCAGTACTGTATACCTATACCAAACAACTGACCAGCCGCGGCAGCACTCATCCCCTCTTTTAACTTATCTAATAATAAAACTTTCTTTGTCAGGGTCATCGCTGACTTCTGCCTTTTACATTTCACTCCATTAGCATCACTACCACTGACACTAGGCAGTCATGTGGGAGCCATCTCACACAGTAACACTAAAGTTTTGAGAGTACAACACGAGATGCTGCGTGGGGTGACTTGTTGTGCTGTGGGAAAAGGCTTGCAAGCTAGCCACCATAGCCACCATCTGCTTACCGCGAATCGTCAAAATCGTGACTCGCAAACTTGCGAATGGCAAGGGTCTACTGTACTGTGAAACCATTAAGAAACTCGAGAAGTTACTGTGCAGTACAGTATAAATATTCAGGTGTTTCAGTAAATATTGTACTCCACAATATTTCACAGAAAAAGAACCAATTATGAATGTGGAGGTAACACATATGCCTTGATTTGCTTAATGAACCAGAGAATGTTTCTACAGCAGCCTTAATCATTAGTAACATTACAGCTTATTGCACAAAAAAATACAAACCCAGTTGCATAATCCGTCAACTGACCATAATGCCCAAGGTCTGAGTATGTATCATACTACTGTACTTAAAAAGAATCCCAGGAGTTTTTTAGCATGTTTCCGGGGGAACATCTCTGTCCATAGGAACACATCTCTAATTGTATAATTGAACATAACCCTTCCATAGCTAACTCAAAGAATGCCTGTTTATTGTTCTGAATATGAGTGTGAAGTTCATGATTTTTTTCATACACCAAAGTTTATTACTGTGCTCTGTCAATCATATACAGTCGTCCCTCGGTTAACGAACACAATTCGTTTCAGAAGGTCATTCGTTAACCGAAAATTTCGTTAACCGAAACCATTGTTTCAATGGGATTTTGGGTAATTGGTTCCAGCTCACCGAAAATTACATACAAAGTAAAAATAAATGCAGTAAAGTACACTTACTTTGAGGTGTGTATGTAGAAGGTTCCTGGTTGATGATGATGATGATGGGAATTAGAAGTGGGGGTGGAAGAGAAATCACCCCATGCTTTATGCCGTCATTTCACCCATAAAATTTTAAGTTCACTTGGTGTAATTCAAGATTATTTTCTTTAAATCATCACTGCACTGCACTATTTATTGTCAATATGTAAAATAAATTTCAGAATGACCAATAATTGTACTGTAAAAACGTAAAAATAGTTTATGTTCAAGCGAGCCACAAGCAAGATGTTACCTCCACTGACCAGAGATACAAACTGACGCCTTTGTGGGTGACTCAAGTGGCTGAATGGCGCACCAAAAACTAGTTCCCGTACTGCAATTATGTTAAATAAGTTAAAATGAAAAACAAAAATTAATATAAAACTTGGAAAATTATTTAATAGTACAACCTTCTTGATATTTACTCAAATGGGAATGAATTTATGCCCTAGAACCGATTACTGTATTGGCGGACTAATATTCCAGCTGGTGAGCAAGCGAAAACATGTTGACATGATTTCGTAAGAATTTCGTTAACTGAATTGAAGATTCTTATGGAAGGTAATTCGTTAACCGAGGGATCACTGTAATCAGGTTATTAGATAATAGATACAGCAACATTGTATGATATACTGTACTGTATTGGATATCTAATGAATAAAATGTTCTCTTCCCCAGGTTAAGATCAAGCCATCATGCCTCGGCTAGGTCTTGGTTACGATATGGACCAGTTCCTGGACCATTGTCGCATGACCAAGCCTCCTTACGAGTGCCCCCATGCCTCCTGTGGCAGGATCTACCGCAGTTTTGCGGGGATGCAGCATCACATGACAACTTACGACCATGAAAATCCTCCTCCTAATGTGGTCACTCCAAAGTCAGGTGAGTTGCTGATTTTAACACATTGTGAATTTGTAATCTTCATTTATTGAATTCTATAAAGGTGAATTACATGCAATTGGTGAATGGTTGATGATACTGTACAATAAAAAATTTCAGTTCGTACCGAGAACTAGAAAATTCTAGAATATCTTAAGTTATGTATATGTTATTGTGGGTAAACTTCAGTGTAAAGTTGCGGTCAAAAGTTCATCCCCAGTGGTGAAACTGAGACACGGGAATGAGTCTGAGCTGACTTACCCTGACGGGTGTACATGAGTAGTTAAAAGTAATTCGTGTATGATCCTTAAAAGAACTACTGTAAAGGTAACCAAGTACTTTAGTGTACAGTGCTGTACACTGTACAGGTATTTCCTTTTTATCAGTTGTAAAGTCCTCTAGCAAATATCTTGTTAAATATACAGTACACACATACACACACGATATTTATTTTATTTTTTACGGGATTAGCCAACCAGGGCACAGGTCAATGGATCACATCAGGCCCTGGGGGTTATATTATAATAATACTACTACAGTACTACTGTACTACCTGTACTACTACTACTAATAATAATAATAATTATTATTATTAAAAAAAATATTAAGAATACTGTACTGTATATAAAAATAATAATATAAAAATAATAATACCCCCCTGTATAATAATAATAATGATGATGGTAATAATATTAATACAGGACCATAAAAAAAATCAAAAGTGGGAAACATTATATGTATGTTGTGTTCTCAGAGAAACAATTGAAACCCTGCAATTGTGTGTAAATGAGGCAGAAAGTCAGGTCAGCAACTTGGGACTTGGTCACAATTTTTGGGATGCCATATGGCAGGAGGGTTTACCAATAGACAATACGTACAGTACATTATGCTTCCAATATCTTCCCAGGCGGTAGCACCTCCCTGTTTGATAGCTGCCTACTACCTACTACACTGTACAATATATATATTTAATTTAGCATGAAGATATTAATATGTTCATTGTATAATGTACAGTAGAATTTTCCAAGATGTATAGTGATGATTTACTTCTGATGCAGAATATAAAAAATGGACATATGAGGACATTTTAACCTTTTCAAGAAAATTAAGACTATAAGTTAGGGTGGCAAAACTATTTTTGTATTGAATAATTGTTTGGTTTTGAAGTGTTGTACTGAGTGATAATTTTTATTGTTTAGCGCGGAAGAAAAACATGAAGAGGCCACCATCCCCTCTTGCAAGCCAGGAGCCAGAACCTCCATCAATACCTTACTCTCATGATATGAAGACCGTAGAGTTTGAGGTAGATGGGAAACTGTCTCGCCTCTCTGTCTACGACCCAATAGAAATTCTCTCCAAAGTAAGTTGCGATGATACTATGATACTTTGTTTTAAATATGATGCCAGGAATGTATTGAGTGGGTCAGTGTTTTTTTTTTTTATATACTGTACAGTATGTACAGTGTTCAGAAATTAAGTGCAAGTATGTATTACTGTACTGTATTGTATACAGTAGTCCCTCGCCAATGGCAGGGGTTAGGTTCTTCAAAACACCTGTAGTTGGTAAATCCGCAGTTGGCAAGACTAATGGTTTATGGGAAATAAGGGATTAGGTTTCATGGCCACGGATAACACCCGTCAAAGCAGGGCTGTGGAGTCGAAGACAAAACCTTCGACTCCGACTCCGACTCCTCAAATTTTTATGCTTCCGACTCCAACTCCTTGGCCTATTTGTAACAACTATTTCTACCATCCTAATTGTAATTTATATGTTGTAACCTGCATAGGTAAAAAGTAAAACACCGTGGCTATACTGCTTTATTAATGATCTGGACGATATTTAAGAACTACAAAAAGATGATAGGCTTGACTTTCAAAGTTTCAATCAAAAGAAAAATAAATTTATTAAGAATTCAAGATATTAACTAGAAAACACCATTTACATGTATATCTAAAAGTTCGATCTCAGCATATGAATTTTGTTTAAGCTCATAATCTGATGTGGATCTAAATGATGATCCTACAATTCCTTTTAAAGTAAAGTTATATATTTATGTACATTAAAGAAATGAATACCTTATTAAGGAAAATGGATAAACCTTACATGATTAAGTTATTAAATTAAATTTGCCTTAATCTCACCAAAAACAGGTTGTAGCTAATTGTTTTGTAGCTGAGAGCCTCTGTGCAGTTTTCAACGAAACAAAATTTGATATAATTCAAAATTTCAAATGGTAAAGAAGAGACTATCGTCCAAAATTATAGTGCTATACTGTGCCTGCTACAATAAATTCATAATAATGCTTATAAAATGGAAATAAATTCTTTTAATAATTTAAGAAAATTAGTGGGATCAGTGGAATCACTGCAATGAATATGCCTGAGTTCATATATTTGTTCTTAGGAACAGAATAGCTTCAGTCGGAGTCGGAGTCTGGACAATTTTACCGACTCCGACTCCACAAGCCGAAATTTCCGACTCCTCGACTCCGACTCCGACTCCACAGCCCTGATAGGTACTCCTGAATGTGCTGCTTAAGGATCTGTTAACCAAAATTTGATATCTTGATTATAACTTGTTCAAATGGCTTTTAGAAAATGTTCAAATGATTTTTAGAATATTTTAATTACTTTTGCAATGCTAATTACTCGCCACTTATGGGTTTTCGAGGTCATTTCTTGGTGCTTGTGTATTATTCTGGATGTACTTAAATAGTTAGGCACATTAAATTTTAGTTCAGAGAGAAAACGTATTTTGGCCAAAAATCCTTTAAGGCTATAGACTTACAATTTTTTCATTTTCGGCCAAAAATGGATTTTGTTCAAAATTTCAGTATAGGTACTCCTGAATGTGCTGCTTAAGGATCTGTTAACCAAAATTTGATATCTTGATTATAACTTGTTCAAATGGCTTTTAGAAAATGTTCAAATGATTTTTAGAATATTTTAATTACTTTTGCAATGCTAATTACTCGCCACTTATGGGTTTTCGAGGTCATTTCTTGGTGCTTGTGTATTATTCTGGATGTACTTAAATAGTTAGGCACATTAAATTTTAGTTCAGAGAGAAAACGTATTTTTGGCCAAAAATCCTTTAAGGCTATAGACTTACAATTTTGTCATTTTCGGCCAAAAAATGGATTTTGTTCAAAATTTCAGTATAGGTACTCCTGAATGTGCTGCTTAAGGATCTGTTAACCAAAATTTGATATCTTGATTATAACTTGTTCAAATGGCTTTTAGAAAATGTTCAAATGATTTTTAGAATATTTTAATTACTTTTGCAATGCTAATTACTCGCCACTTATGGGTTTTCGAGGTCATTTCTTGGTGCTTGTGTATTATTCTGGATGTACTTAAATAGTTAGGCACATTAAATTTTAGTTCAGAGAGAAAACGTATTTTTGGCCAAAAATCCTTTAAGGCTTTAGACTTACAATTTTTGTCATTTTCGGCCAAAAAATGGATTTTGTTCAAAATTTCAGTATAGGTACCAGGGCTGTGGAGTCGAAGACAAAACCTTCGACTCCGACTCCTCAAATTTTTATGCTTCCGACTCCGACTCCTTGGCCTATTTGTAACAACTATTTCTACCATCCTAATTGTAATTTGTATGTTGTAACCTGCATAGGTAAAAAGTAAAACACCGTGGCTATACTGCTACAGCTTTATTAATGATCTGGACGATATTTAAGAACTACAAAAAGATGATAGGCTTGACTTTCAAAGTTTCAATCAAAAGAAAAATAAATTTATTAAGAATTCAAGATATTAACTAGAAAACACCATTTACATGTATATCTAAAAGTTCGATCTCAGCATATGAATTTTGTTTAAGCTCATAATCTGATGTGGATCTAAATGATGATCCTACAATTCCTTTTAAAGTAAAGTTATATATTTATGTACATTAAAGAAATGAATACCTTATTAAGGAAAATGGATAAACCTTACATGATTAAGTTATTAAATTAAATTTGCCTTAATCTCACCAAAAACAGGTTGTAGCTAATTGTTTTGTAGCTGAGAGCCTCTGTGCAGTTTTCAACGAAACAAAATTTGATATAATTCAAAATTTCAAATGGTAAAGAAGAGACTATCGTCCAAAATTATAGTGCTATACTGTGCCTGCTACAATAAATTCATAATAATGCTTATAAAATGGAAATAAATTCTTTTAATAATTTAAGAAAATTAGTGGGATCAGTGGAATCACTGCAATGAATATGCCTGAGTTCATATATTTGTTCTTAGGAACAGAATAGCTTCAGTCGGAGTCGGAGTCTGGACAATTTTACCGACTCCGACTCCACAAGCCGAAATTTCCTCCGACTCCTCGACTCCGACTCCACAGCCCTGCGTCAAAGTCTGCAACTGTGTTGCCTTTTCCTCCACTAATACCTGTATGGTACATTTAATTAAATTTGAGTCAAGTACAAATAAAATAGCTTAATTTGAATTAAAAACTGGTTGTAATATAAATTTTACAGTGGAGGGGTATTTACATTCACTACATTGATGACAATTGTGGATAAGGATGATTTGGAGGGAGAGGTGGTTGTTACAAGGAAGAGGGGGCAGAAGTCCATAGCATATCCCACTGATGCTATACTCTCCCTATGCACTAGTCTATCAAGCACTTCAACTTTCTTTTCTGATGTCATTACATTCCTTGCCATTCTCACCTTTGTCACTAACACTCAAAGAACGCTTAAGGGCCATAGGGCAAAATCTTTGTTTTACAGTACAAAATAAGTGCTAGAATACACAGTATCTGTAGTACAGTACGTCATCATGCTATGAAATCACAACACTGAGAGAGCGTGGAGAGTGATGGCGGGTCTTGGGACATTGCGTGGAAGGATAAAGACGTCATGCTAATCTGCAGATACATAAAATTAAATGCCTTGGTTGGTGAAATGGTATTCAGAGTGAAAACTATGAATACACATAATCCGCTGATGGGGAATTTACGGTTGGCGAGGGTGTACTGTACTGTACAATTACGTGAATTATCACATGATGGCAGTCAACTTGGTGCCATAACCTAGGTATTTATTAAAATATATCTAAATGCTAATTATCTGAGTCATTTATACCGTACCTGTGCCTAGGAGTGTAATCAGCCTCCTGTACTTTGTGATCGTAGGCTTACAGAAGACATATGTCTGGGTGCCTTGTGAAGTAGTGCAGTGGGTAGCTAATGAGAAAGTTACGGGCTGAGGAATGTCTTGTATGAGTGGTTATGGCATTATGTGAGAGTAAATGGTGAGGAATTTGGGGTGAAAGTAGGCATCCATTGAGGGTCTGTTTTGAGCCCCCTACTGTTTATCATGTTAGAGGCACTATCACATACTCAAGTTGACAGTGGCATTTGATGATTGGTAGAGGCATCATCATAATCTTACATGGAAGTAGTGCGTTGAAAAATTGAGTAGCTATTATTGTATGTGTAACACTTACTTATTTCTCCCAAAAGGTCCAGTGAATTGCAGTGCAGGAATGCTTTCTCGTTTAATGTTAGGTCCAAACTCGGTTTAGCGATAGCTTGATTCACTATGATGAGGTGGCCTGTGATATGGCATGTTGCCTTTGTTACTTACATGTAATGAAACTGTAAAAGTTGTGGAAAATCATTACAATACAATACTCTAATGTAGCTTAGAATTAAAGAAAATATAATACCTGTATTAAACTATAAAATAAGAACAATGAAGAACATGGGTGTGTATGTATAGGAAGTGAACATATGTATTAAGGCAGTGAGCTGAGCTGTAACTGTGGTCAGGCAAACTCTCCAGCCCCCCTATATGACATCACAGCATACAGCACAGCAGCTGGGTGACTGCCTGGCTGAACTGTGTCAGGTGTATACCGCACAAATTTTGGGTAGCTATTTGGCAATCGTTTCACAACACACAGAACACAGGAGACAGCGAACAGCTGAGATTCCCCCGTCGCTCTCCCTTCCCCTTTTCCCTCCCCAGATCTGTGTGCTAACTCCTGCACATGTAAGAAATGTTTATACCCTTTATGTTTTTGACCTTATGATTATTATTATTTTTTGGCCCATTCTATATGAACAATTGTATGCATGTGACAGTGAAAAAAAATACATGTATCTACCTGAAATTGTGTTGAAAAATATTAATAACAGCTGGTACGAAGAAATGTTTATTCCGTTATGCTTTTAACCAAAGGATGATTATTGTTATTTTATTTTGCACATTTTGTATGAAAGATTGTTTATGCATGTAACAGAGTAAAATAAAAAAGAAGAAAATTATGAGTTGAAAAAAACATAACTGGGTGGCAAGTTGGTGACACAGTTTCAGTTCACTGCCTCCACGAGCCCACTCATATGGTTGCCACACATATTAGAGTGTATTGTAATGGCTATTCCACAACTTTTATAGTTTCATTACCTGTATCAATGGCAACATGTCATCTCCACAGATATTATTGCTTGTTATCCCTGGTTTAGCAATAATTTTGCTTAATGTTAGGTTTTCAGGAATGCATCCCATCGTTAAACGAGGGATACCTCTCTATGAAAGAAGTGGATGAGCTTTAATTATAGATTCTGGTGAGCCATTGACTGAATAAAATTTTTTTATCAAAAAGTATGTACCTACCCGTTATGACTGATAGGTAAGCAGAATTAATGGTAATCTCTTTTACAGGAAGATTATGAGGCATCGATGCCCCCTATAGTGGAGGAGCCTCCTCCTCAAGAACAGGCTCGCACACCTTCCATAAAGCCTCTGCCCAAGACTCCAACATCTAAAGCACCATCATCTAAAACCAGTGTACCCAACACTCCCTTGCCCAAGACTCCCTTACCCAAGACACCCCTACAGAAACCACCCAAGGTATGTAACTGGAAATGCCTTCACAGTATGATAGCCTTCTTTATAGTAGACTTTGTTTCTCATCTTGTAACAGTTTCTGAGCCATCTGCATTACAAAGAAGAATATTTATAATTTTTTAGAATTTTTTAAGACTTTGATATTTGTTCACGAAACTATAATTTTTCACTAAAGACAATGGTGCTAGAATATTTCAGCAAAGGCAATGGCTGCTCATTGAATTTTTATAAAGATTAGTATGATGATCAGTTATATTGTACTTACAAATATAAAAACAAACTTAGATGTTTGGCAGTAGTGGAACTTCATTATGATGTAGACAGAAGGTTATGGTTTTTTGCTTTTCTGGAAGAGATGGAAGAACCCAAAGACATTTTCAGGGGTAAAAAAAATACAACTTACTTAAAGAATATTTAAGCTGATACCATTGCACAACTGAGCTCCTAATTGTGTAAATTAAACCTGAATGATTTTATTGCACTATACAGTATTTGGAAAAATTTGTGTCATGTTAAGAATTGAAAGTGGATGCTTACTATAGGCACGAACAACTGACAAGGACCGAGGAGTGGATGTTCAGCGCTACACCATCGAGGAGAAAAAGAGCAACAAGCTCCCAGAAGCTTCCTTTAGAATAATTGAGGACTACTACAAGAACCTTCCAGATGCTCCTCCACAGCCCTCAAACTACTACAGGTTAGATACTGTTTCATGTTTTAAGGTATAGTATACGTAGATATTTTTTTAATTTTCCACATTGATCTAATAGTTGTAGGAATGGTTCAGTTAGTGTATGAAATAATGTACATTATTACCATCCTATACAGACTTCTATGTATAAGTGGCTGCAGCTACATTGCCATATTGAACCATATGTTTTACCAATTTCTGTAACTAAAGTACTTTTTATGGGGACTAAATAAATGTTTTTCTCTATCTATAAGATCACCTTGTAGTTTCATGAAAAGTTAATAAGGAGGATGCTATGTATTGTTCAATGCCTTGATTTTGACTTTAACATGTTGAGCACACTATTGTGTTTATCTGTATTTTTAAGTTAACATATTTACCTGAAATAAAATAATTTTGGTGTGATCCTCACTTGCTTCATATCCTCTGATCATTGACACGCCTTTACATTATGTTTACTATCTCATATTTGTTTGTGTATGGTAGCTAATATATTTTTATTTTCGTGTGTGCATTTGCTGCTAAATCTGAGCATTGATCAGTATGATGACTATTCACAGATTTATTGAAAAGAGTTTGGAAGAGTTAGATGAGGAAGTAGAGTATGATATGGATGAAGAGGACCGTGCCTGGCTGCAGCTAATGAACGAAAAGAGAGCTGTAGATGAACTTCCACCTGTTCAGATGGAGACTTTTGAACTCCTCATGGACCGACTAGAGAAGGAATCATTTTTTCAGGTAAGTTTTTTATCTCTGGAAAATAGTGGTCATGAATGTTATTAGTAAGGTTGTTAAGATATCGATAATTATGAAATGCAGGTTGAACCTCAATATTCCAAGATGCTTGGGACTTAGCCCTTGCCAGTTTACTTAATTTAATAATAATAATAATAATAATAATAATAATAATTAACGGTTTATTGAAAAAGTTCTGCAGCCTGAAGGCTGAAAATATACATTGGACATAAATGACTTATTACATACATTGACATTGGTGGTTTAACAAAAGCCTTCATTAGAGAAAGGTAAAGGAACATATAGTGAACATAAAGATTAATGTTTACAGTGGAAGTCACGTAGGTCATGTACGCTGAGGTGTTGAACAGCAGACACGTAGTTTAGTAACTCCCTCACAGATGGTGTTATGAGGGGCATCACATGGTGTAGTAGTTCCCTCACAGGTGGTGTTATGAGGGACCTGATGTGGTGTAGTAATTCCCTCACAGATGGTATTCTGAGGGGTCTCATGTGTAGTAATTCCTTCACAGATGGTGTTGTGAGGGACCTGATGTGTAGTAATTCCCTCACAGATGGTGTTATGAGGGTCCTGATATGGTGTAGTAATTCCCTCATAGATGGTGCTATGAGGGGCCTGATGTGGTGTAGTAATTCCCTCACAGATGGTGTTATGAGGGGCCTGATGTGGTGTAGTAATTCCCTCACAGATGGTGTTATGAGGAACCTCACATGGTGCTGTAGCAACTCATTCACTATGTGGTGTCGTAGCATCATGGGGACACCACGTGGTCTGGTGTCACAGGACCTCACTCACTCAAGTGAGTGAGGTGTGGTCCCAGGCCTCCCTATCGTGGATGGATTAACACATAGCTGGTGTGGTTGAATCTCACAGGCAGTTATCACTGGGTACCTGGGACCTCACTATGTGAAGGTTAGCTTGGGTATGACTCGGCTGTTACTGTTGAGTTGTTTTCACTGACTTAAGCACTGTTCAACACTGGTTCCATTCCTTTCCTAAATGAAATGGTAACTTCTGGCTAGAACTTGTTGATATTCCGGTGGGGAGGAGGGTTCAGGAGAGGGAGTTGGTATGGGTCAACATAACAGTTGACCTGGCTGCTGCCAGAGCAGTGCCGGGTATGTCTTGACCCTTCGGTGGTCAAGGGTGGTGTAAATTTGCCAGTTAATGTATATGTATTTTTCCAAAACGAAGATGATACTTATGCTCATATTTAATGATATAATAATGAAACAAAGAATAAAATACATACACCTGTACTGTAAAACATTGTTATGCTGTGAAATAAGAAGACTTTCTTTTATTTACTTACCTAATACAGTACAGCTGTGAAATAAGAAGACTTTCTTTTATTTACTTACCTAATACAGTACAGTAATCTTATTTGTTTGTTTGCCCAAATATAGATGTGTAGGATAATTAAAAAAATATATACTGGGTATTTTATATATTTCTGGTCTTGTAATATGTAGTAAGAAAAATCACTAGTGGCTGGGTATTGAGTGAACCAAGCAGCTGTACAGTATGTCAGTGTGGTGGTTATAATTGATATTAATGTTATTGTTCATATGTTATAGTGTACATGAATTTTAATTATTTAATGGCTAAAACTATTTCACTTTCTTTGGACTGGTAAAGAAAATTTTGTGAATATTATCAGTTTTGGTTTGTTATACACATAAAGAAGCATGGCGATCGAATGGATACAGTGCACGGGGTCAGTGGTTCAATTCCCTGGTGCTCCCAGTTCCCCCAGCTGTAAATGGCTACCTGAGTTTACAACTTGGGGAAGTGAATGTGTCGAGTATAGTGCCGGCCATGCTGCCTCCTTGTGTACCGAAGGCTTAGTGTACAGTGTGCTGTACTCACACTGTCCCTAATGGACATTGATGCCTAATGGGACTCACTTTCATAGACATTGTATTCAATGAAAGCTGATGTAACAACAATTGGCCTAATGTTTGTATTTGCATCTACCCAGGCACAGTGTTCGGGTAGAGATTCCGGAGTACCAATTGATGAGGATGCCGTGTGCTGTATATGCATGGATGGAGAATGTCAAAACAGCAATGTAATCCTCTTTTGTGATATGTGCAACTTGGCGGTTCATCAGGTAAGTTCAGTACTGTGCATAATGGTTTACCAGATAAATGTATATAATGAGTTCAGTAATCAATGTACAGTACAGCTTGCCTTCCTGTTTGCCATTTAAGAGTACAGTACAGTATTTGTAATTGAAATTGTTGTGAATATAACATTTTCTTTGTTCGGTATGTTTAAAACTTGTATGGAAATTCTGATAAAGCCTGAGAGACTGAGAAGTTATTAACTAGAGTGCTACAATGCTACATGACACCTTAAAAGCCATTAAATCAGCATGACAGTCTTTTATGTTTGAAGGGCAAAAACATATATGTAAACCAGAAATGTAATGGTATGAGTTTTTGTTAACAGTAAATAGGTTCAGATAACTTTTGGTCATACAAGCTTCTGGTGTTAGTTTAACCTCTAGGCTTCGGGTCACATCATATGCAGTTTTGATCTTTCGTGGACCTGTGTGAATAAAAAGGGTAGGCCTGGCTAGATTATGTAGTACAATATAATGATTGTTAATAGTGTAAATAATAATAAAAAAGTAAAACAAGTGTCCTATGCCTCATGCTGTGATCAAATTAGTGGGGTTTCCCTCATACTATTGCATCACACACACATGCCACTTCATGAACATCCTCGACTCTTCCTAGCCTTTCTGTTCCCAACCTGTGGTAGAGACATGTATTTATTTCCTGTTTACATCATGCTTGGCCAGTTTGTAAGACTAGAATTGCTTTTTATTTGTGTTTTTAAATGTGCCAGAATATAACTACAGTGGGGGAGATACCGACCATAGCCTGAAGCCCAGATGTTAAATCTTACTGGTTTTTACATTGCTATCATACATACATACAGTGCATATATACTGAGTTTTAAGGACAATTGCAGGAATGTTATGGCGTCCCTTACATTCCTGAAGGGCAGTGGTTGTGTCGCCGGTGTCTTCAGTCTCCATCTCGGGCTGTGGATTGTGCTCTCTGTCCTAATAAGGGTGGGGCATTCAAGCAGACTGATGATGGCCGCTGGGCGCATGTTGTGTGTGCCATGTGGATCCCAGAAGTGTGTTTTGCCAATACTGTGAGTATTTACTGTTGTTTTTTCTTTTTAATTGTTCAAACGTTTCTGTAAATAATAAGTGCTTTTCAAATCCAATAGGAAATGAAGATATCAAGAGGCAGTCAGGATTTTACATTCCTCTTTAGCAGCTTAAAAGTCATGACTTCCTTAGTTTGACCTTGAATCACTTTTAGGTAGATGTCATTGTTGAGAAAGAATACAAGCAGAGAGTAGGGATGGATATTGACAGGATTTTGTTACTAGTTCACATTCCAGGGCATAGTTGTAAAAAAACTGAAGTGGTAGTAAGAGGTTGGGGGAAGAGGTTAATAGATGGTGCTCCACAGAAGGAAAATTGGATATCAGGCAGCGAATGTTGGAAAAATGAAGTGTAAAAAAAGCCGATCCTCTGGCAACTGCTGTGATGTCAGTTGAGGCCCCAGTACAGTACAGTAGTTTGATGATGATCAGGTCAGCCCTTGGGTCCACAACCTTCCTGACCAGTGGGACCCATCCGAGAAGGCCCCCTCTTTAATATTATTGTCAACTGATAACATGGGAGAATAAAAGAGTAGAAAGAATAGAACAGATCAAGAGTGAGCACGGTTATTATATGTTGTGTTGTCAATAGTAAAAGAGACAATTGAGACCCTTCAATTGTGTGTAAATGAGGCAGAAAGTCAGATCAGCAACCTGGGACTTGGTCACAATTTTCGTGATGCCATATGGCAGCAGGGTCTACCATTAGACAACACATTAAGTTTCCAATATCTTCCCAGGTGGTAATACCTCCCTGTTTGGTAGTTGCCTACTACCTACTACCTAATGAATATGGAATAATGTAGCATTTGTTACCAAAATTGCACAAATGAGGTGCAATCTGTTTAACTTCGATTACAGTAGTGCAATGTTATAAAGTGAATTGTTATGAAAATGAATGTTTGTCTTTGTTTAAAACCTTATGCACGTGTATCTGGAAGTGGAAATTTATTCTTTTGTATATGACTTGAACATTTGCTGGAGATTAATGTTGAATCCTCATATTATATTGTCTTTTTTTAGGTCTTCCTGGAGCCCATTGACAGTATTAATAACATTCCTCCGGCGCGCTGGAAACTCACCTGTTACATCTGTAAGCAGCGAGGTGTTGGAGCTTGTATCCAATGCAACAAGGTTAACTGTTATACTGGTAGGTTGTATGATTTTTTTCTTTTGGCATTGGAGATCATTATCTGATGTGTGAGACTTACTTTCTTTGCTAAATGGTGCTTGTATAGACTTGAAACCAGTGTGATAGTGAGGATTTGTACTCTGCATTCAAACATCCTGATGCAGACAGAATGAATGGAGGTTTTGATGTGGCTGACCACATACTGTAGATATAGGTAATTATACAAATACCATCTAGTAAAATGGTACAGATCTAATGGGTTGTGTCTTCATTCCTCTCCTACTGCAAAATGTAGATTCATAATCACATTCTTATACTGTATCTTTTTTTACACAGTACATGTGATTAATGTTAAACATTTGGGAAAAGCTCAGAATACAGCTTGATGTGTAGTGTGTGCAGTAACATCTCTGTTAGCCGGAATCCCTCAAACCCAGAACTCTCCGATAGCTGGAATTGAAATTTTCTCGGAAAATCGTTCCCAAAGCCGGAATTTTCCGGAAAATTCCGGCTTTAGGAACGATTTTCCGAGGGGCACATTTTCCGGAAAAAAAATCCTGGTACCCGGAAATTTCCGGGGATGGGGGAGTATTTTCCGTCTATAAGAGAGTCATCTCGTTACCCGGAAATCTCTCATTCCCGGAAGTGCTCTGCACCAATTGTTCCGGCTAACGGGGATATCACTGAAGTGGGAGTATAGCTAGTTACTAACCTTCGGGAACTTGTGGACCCACAGTATGATATATAGTATATTATTGCCTCATATGAAGAGGACTATAAAAGAAAAAAATATATTGAATATGGCATAGAATTTGACTCTACTGCACTTTTAATTAAGAGTCCACTTCATGTAAAGGTCCTGCTATAGTCAGTAAGTTTCCACCTCTAAAACTGTAAAGTTGATCTTTGAAGCAGGAACCATAATATATATTTCTTGGTATGATGCATCTATAACAGCTGTGGTTTTGAGTTTAACAGATATATCAGCTCTCTTGTCCTTACAGCATTTCATGTTACGTGTGCTCAACAAGCTGGACTGCACATGAAGATTGATGCTGTGAGAGAAACAAGTGTCAATGGGACTTCGGTTACTGTGAGGAAAGCTGCGTACTGTGATATGCACACACCGGCAGACTCTGATGCGGTACGTTACATGAAATCAGAATGGGATGTACAGAGTATTATTGTATCCTAAGTTCAAATGTTTTTATATAAATAATATTAAAAAAGGTATTGATATGTATTTCTTTATTCCATGATTTTGTAACAACTATGAAAACTACTCTGCATACATTCTAAACTAAAAGATATTTAACAGAGATTGACATTTGAGTTTACTTACAATAATACAGTCCTATTCTAGATGATAAAAGTATGAGTACAATATTCTGTCTTGTATTTGTTTCTCACTTAATTTAGTTTTTTTTTCAGCAACTCAAAAAATCATTGTGTTGGACAGTTTATTATATAACCCACCATGGAGTTTTAATCTTCTCACCATTTTGTTTTGCCTATGCACAAGCTAATGCTGTATCCTTTGTGCTTCCTAATGCTTTTAATAGAGTGGTGTACCCAAAGATGTTTTTATCAGCAACCTCACTCCCACTTCTGATGCCTTAGAAGGATGTGTACAGTTAGAGTTAGATGTATTCACCATGTCTCATTGAGGAAATATTTATGAGATTGTTAAAGATGCATTTTACTGTAGCAGGTGATAGATTTATTTTCTTTGAGTTGTCCCCAAGCACTTTTTCCCAGTAATGTTTCTCTTATCTCTATGTATACTGGTTCCTGTAATGGTAAACTACAACTGTGGTGAGGGCTGCCAGGAATGCGAGTTTATTTCTGCTTTGAAAATGAAGACTTCAATATGGTTCCTCATTAGCTGATGTTAAGACCATGTCAAACATACCTCTTTCCTCTCCTCTTGAGTGGCTCCAGCCTTGAACATATTATTCTTTCGCTTACCTAGAAGAAAAGCATAGTGCATCTTTCATTTTATTCCCATGTACCAACTCAAGAGGGAAGAGGCATGCTGCCCTTCAGTGTTGTTTGATCTTTATTCATACAAGGACATATTAACCAGGATCCTACAACTTTTCTTACAAACACATGACATTTAAATTGTTCAATATTTAGACATTATTTAATTCACCACAGCAGAGCCTCACATCTCCAGCACATACAGATAGTCACCAATTTTAATTCTGGTGTTACAGTTATTTTAGGAAAATTATAGCTCACTCAGGGTTACTTGGTGGTGTATTTGAGGATAGTGTTTGGTGAGGTAGATGTCTTTCCAGCATATTTTGGAGGTAATTGAGTGGATATAAATCACAGCACTTGTTGTATTTTGTCATCCCAAAGAGAATTAAAAATCACTTGAAAGGTTTACTGAATTTTGCAGATTACTCTTACACCTAGGAAGGCTGAATTAGCTTGGAACCATATTGTAAACCATTGGGAAAAACTTTGGGATCTATCGATCGACTCTGAATGGTTATGATAGGTTGGAAATTACAGTACTAAAGTACTGTACCTCAGATTTCACCCTCCAATACTTTCTTTGAAGTTGTAATACAGTAGATGTATATTTGTGTTGTGTGTGCGTGCTTGTTGAGATTTGCTTTACCCACACTCGTCAATTTTAGGTTGTTGGTGGTAAGATAATTTGTCCCATTTGTCCTGAGGGTGAGATGCTTGGAAAAGTAATGCAGTTGATGTATGAAAGAAGTGTGAATACTGGAATGCAAAAATGTGAAAAAGTATCTGAAGACAGGTTTTTTAAGATGAGTTGATATGGCATTGTGGGGAGATTCAGGGACAGGTTATGAGGGAATTAAAGAAAGCAGTGGTGAAAATGAAAGGTTCAGACTTAAAGATTCAGACAATATTTGAACATACAGAATATTTTGGTAACTGAAATGCTTGGGGGAGTATTCTGCCTATGGTGCCCTAAACTGAATGTAAGAAGAGATTTCATACTTGAAGATTCAAAAATAGTAAATTAGTGCCTGTAAATATTATATGAAGAGGTAAGGGTCTTTGAGTATATGAAATACATCATAGATTTTTTTTATTAAGAGGCACTAATCTTGTTTGAATATGTAATCGCTAGTTATTCAGAGAAGTATTGCGTCTTATTGTCTTCATTGTTTATTGGCCATTTTTCATGCTTGCTTTGGTCAGTTGATGTTTGCCTCTCCAGTAATAATATTCACATTTTAGAGAATATAGCCAAAGAGGAGGGGAATCAGCAGTAGAAGGGCATCCCCATGACTCACATTATACAGTAGAGCACTAGTTGTGAAAATGCCAGCATCAGGCCAGCCTTAAAACTCTCATGTGGCTTATGCATCTGATATTTGTGTTTAGGTACTGGCTGTGTTTTAGATCCAAAATTCTAATTAATGCAATTATTTTCTTTGTTGATATGTTAATACTATACAGTAGCTTTATTTTTTCCTTCTATATTCATGCTAGTACTGCATTGCTCAATCCACATACCAGTCTTTATATCTCACATGCCTTATTTTACTCTTTTGAAGCATGGTTTGTTCAGAGCAGAGCCTCCTACACACTCCACCACTTTGGCACATTTTGATATATTTCCCCTTGGAACCACTCAGCTCACACACACTATTGCCTCACTGTGTCCATCTTCTTTGCAAATGCATATTATGGTCACCCCATTTGTTACATCATTTTACTTTTGTCAGAATTCATCCTTGCCAATTTTTTCTGCTTCTTGCATTTGAATATTTGTAGCCATTGCAGTTTTGTCTGACATTTTTAAGGAATGGGTTTTGCCGACATTACTGTGTGGGTGTGAAGTATTGTATAAACCTTGAAACAAGAGGGAGATAAGTTAGAGGTGATGTAAATGTGGTTGAGAGCAGTGTGTGTGAGGGGGGGGGGAGAATCAGAAAGAGAAACAAGGAAAGTGTTGTGAAATGAGTGTTTGACAAGTGTTGTCAACCAAGGGTTTCTAAGATGGTAACTACAGATATACTGTAACTTTATATTTTACTTATTTTATGATTAGGGTATAGTCACTATAATGTCTGAAAGATATTGAACCTGTTCCAAAAAGTGAACATAAGATTGAGAGGTGAGGAGGGCTGGGTGATGACAGGATTGGTCAGTGGTGAAGCTTACTCAGCTGATAAGTCCATACAGTATGATAACATTTCCCTCACTTGTGGAGTTAATCTACGGACTATTAAAGCAGAAGTATATATGTTCATGAAGTTAGTCAACAATCCAAGTGTGTGTAAAATCAACTTCATGCAATGTGCTGCACATAGAGTACTCTCCTGTATATGGGTGGTTGGTGTGCACATCCTCAAATGGTTTGTTCTCATGATTTTTGCCTGAATTTTGCCCCTTTGTTGTCCAGCAGCAATCAAAAGTTGCTCCTGAAAGTTTATTCCTGTTGTGTAAGGAATGCATAGGAAATATGAAATGGTTGCTGAGATGGAGGATTATTGTAAGTCAACCACATCAGGGCTTATGTCACCTAATAACAACTTTTATTTATGTACAGTATATACCTTTAACCCAATCATTATAGATGAGATTTACCATACTCACATTAGTTTTGCCAAGTCCTTCATGAATGTACCAGCACCTTGGTCTGCTAGAAATGAACTCACGGCTTGCCTGCTGCCCAAGCAATGCTTTTATTAAAATCCAAGTGCAAGACTGGATATGTTAGTAAAGAAATGCTAAAGTTTACAAAAGACCAAAATCTCTTGTATTTGAAATGGAACAAATTATATTCATCATTCTATATTCACCTCCTGTTAATTAAATTCAGTGACAAACGTAATAGATTATGATGTATTTCCATATACAGTACAGTACAGTACTCAAACAGTACATAAGTTTTTACAATACCTGTACAGTATATCATAACTTATTATGTGTACCTTTAAGTTTGTTTATGGCCAATGGCTTTTTCAGGGGGGTGTACTGGATTGGTAACAATAATGATTATAATAATTGGCTATTAGTGATAATTATGTAAATTACATTATGGACTAGCATGTACAGTCAGGCACGTCTTCCGTTTGACGGTCGTCCAGTGCTTGCCTCTGCTTTTGCTGTGATGAACCTTTGTGGTTGAAGGGCCAGTCTGTTTTCACTTTGCAGCGTCCCCAGCTTGATGAGATTATGGACTCTGCCAAGAAAGCTGCAGCAAAGGCAGCATCGCGCCAAAAAATGAAGAAGGCCCGTAAGATATTAGCTGAGAAGCGGTCTGCTGCCCCAATTGTTTCTGTTCCAACTATACCAGCTGATCGGTAAGCCAGAATTCAAAATTTGTTTTGTAGTTTTATTTGTCCTTAAGGAGTTTTATGTGTAATAGTTGCACATTACATGTACCATAGATTTTATATGAAAAGTTAGTGTACTCGTCTCTTTTTGTTTATTTTAGATGGCAAGAAATTAGTTTTTTTAATTATTATAAATTGCATACAGTACAGTATGTGTATATAAAGTAAATGTTATGCATTGGATACCATCATCAGAATTCTTTTCAAGTGAGTGATTCAAATGATGCTTGTTTTTTATATAGTGTCCACAAGGTAGGTGGTGTAATCATAGTGTTGTAATGTTTAAACAAATGAGATTCATCTGACATGGCTCAGCACTCATAGCTCTAAGCTAGAGTATTATTAGACAACTTCAGTCTTTTACAATGTGAAGTATGAGCTCTGTTGTCACCTGAGGCCCCTCCTCATATGGACAAAATATATACCGGTAGCTATATCTTGCTTGTGAAGTTGGGTTTCAACATTTGGATTTGTGAGTATTATTTGTAGAAAGTTAAGGAAATTATTAGTAATATGTAAATGCTTATCATTAATTTTTCTATGTTTGACAGATGTTTGTTGTGGAATGCATATTTGTGATATTTTTAGTGAAAGATAGTTTATTTATAGTCAGGGCCAGATTGAGAAATTAGGAACATTAATGCAGAGGGCATGAGGGGTACAAAATAGCAGAGAGAAACATCAGAACCAATTTTTATAAATAAATTTTCTGCTCCTATGAGTCATCATCAGTTTTATGTGCTCCTGATGGCTTTGATGTAAATAATAACTCTATACAGTAATGTACAATCAAAGACAAAAGTCGTGTAGTGGTTTTATCTGAAGATTAAATATAACTCGTGGAACATTATGAGAGCCCTCTTCCACAAGGCAGAGCTCACCAAAAGTTTAGCCCTTTGGCATATGTTTTCTCCAAATTTTACGACACGACTTTTGCCTTTCATTTTACATAAAATTTATCATAATTTGGGTGGATGGAATCATGTTTTCATCAATCTTTTGCAGTTTTGGGCTGTTATAGTTTATAAAGTTTTCATCTGTCCAAAAAACAAACAACAAGAACAACAAAGGTTGCTGTATATTACTGTGACATGTTTCATAAGATAATTTTCTTGTTGATGAGATACATCCTGCCTTATGAGGTGTGCCATCAGTCATTCCTGGTGTGAAAGCAGTACAGCATCATGATTTATCATTTTATCCTCCTCTTTGTGAGAGGCAAGGATGTATAGTATTACCTCAGTCTATGGGTCCCAAAACATTTGTTAATGTAACAGGTCATACTGTTTCATTTGGATATTTTTCAAACCTGGAATACAGCCTCAGTATGAATTATCATTAGACATTGCAGAACACTGTCAAGGTCAAGGGTAGATGCTGATGGGTAAAAGTTGACCAGCAAGCATGAACATTGCTGCTTCCTTGTTGGGCGCTGTAATGCTTCTGTGCTTCGCCTTATGCAGGATGTATGGGGCTGCCCCATAAACTAGTCCCTGTGCTGTGTGGTGGCAAATCTCCTCTAAACAATGTACAGAACGCCAAGAATAAAGTACAAGACCTTAGCCAGATTATAACTTATGTATCCATGTTCATATTTAGAGGAAATTTCAAACAAATATTTATCATCAGTGAACCAAGTGCATAAAACTTAATTTGATTTTTATTGTTATGCCTATATGACAAATCAGTTGTTCAGATGCAGTTCTAGGATTACCTTAAGATTAAACCCCCTCCCCCACCTCCTGATAAATACTACAGGGGGGGGGGGCGCTAAGGTTAAGTAAGCTTTTGGGGTAGTTAATCTTAGTTTTACAGTTAGGTGTGATTAATCTTAGTTTATGTTGGATTGGTTAATCTAATGTGAAATAAGCAGAGTGGGTGGGGGACATATCCTCAGATGATCCCATTTGAATTTTTTAAAGATTGATTAAAGCTTCTTTGGAATAAATGGTGTTGTGGGAAGCAAAAACAAAGGTACAATATTCTTGCCATAGTGTCCAGACTGTATTAGACACTTTGCTCTTCATTATATCATAAGCAAGGTACAGTACTCATACTCTAAATACTTTCAGACTAGAGAGTCAGCTTCTATGAGGGTGCCACACCAACTGAAGGGTTATAAATGGGGGTATACAAGGGAGAACAGTGCAACATGGGTTTAAAGGTTATCAGGGGAAGATGAAGGCAACAAATAGAGATATTCACATAAGCAATTGTGTGTGCTGGATATAAAATGATATTTATAATGATTTGAAGATGCCACATATTGATTCTCTCTACATTCAAATTTGAGTCATCAGTTACATTCATATTTCCACCATCATGTAGAAAATGACTTCAGTACTTTGATTAGGGGCCAATTTTTCAAGCACAGTACAGGTATTTAGTTAATTATTATATACGTGTATTTTTAAAAAAATTTCATTAGGTAAACTAAGACTTTATTTCCCCGGTCTTGTCAGTATACAGTACTGTACTGTATATTTGAAACTTCTAGTGACACAAAATGTGTATTTCTTTTTGCTATGTGATTTTGAGGACATTAGTGTTCCTTGTTAATATACTAGTTTCTCCATTTTGCAAATTCACCATTAATGACATTAGAGGAAAGGTGAGTTGGGCAAGAAAAATAATGGTACTATAGCATGGTTTACTGCACCTTGAAGATCATACAAGAGATGGATTGCACTAAATGCCTTGTATCCTTAAGAACCAAGAGATATTGAAAATGAACAGTAAAAAGTAATTTCAAGTTTCCAGCGGGAGGTGCAGAGAGTAGTTCATAACATCCCAAGAAATTATTTCTCATCAAGTATTGTATTAATAATGATAAGCAACACTTAAAAAGGAAAAGGGTATATGAAAGATTTCATTTCCCACCAAGCTATTTATAATCATTGTGTAATGTCTGTCAACCAAAGTGCTTATAAATTCAAGTGGCAGTACATATTTAGAAAAACAGAATGTAGAAGTGTCATCAGTAAAAGTGCTGCTATTCTGCATTTTCCAAAAAAAAATCCTGATAGTTCAGTGACACTCATTGATGCTACATGCCCAGTAAAGTCTCAGCCACAGACTGAAGTTGGATGTTTTTTCTTGGCTATTTGCTCTACTGTACTGAGTGCAACAAATTATTGTGAGATTCATTCCAGTAACTAGTTGGTTGTTGGGAATTGTCTGATATCATGAGTCTCATGGCCCGAACTTCAAAGTTGAAACATCTTGTGCCAGCAGACTACAGTCCATTTTATGTTGATATTTAGGGACATTTCTGGAAAGGCTGGCAGAACAACGATTTGAGAAAAATTTTCCTTTTTATGTGTAAATGGAATCCTGAGTAAAGATACAAGTTTCATATGACTGTTAAACTGGTTGTGGGAAAACCAGTATATATGAGGTACTGTGTGTTGTGGCTCCCCTTTTTGTTTGCATGAAACATATTTATTATGTTTGGATGTTGAAGCTTTTTGCATTGGTGTTTAAGCTATCAGATTAGAGAAAATACAGTTACGATTTTCAAAACTGTGTGCCTTCACTGGTATACATAAAGGTAATTTTAGTGCATCAATGTGCAACTTGACCTTTGTAGATTACACCCCATGAAATTATAGACTGTTTTGATTATGGTACAGCACCTCCACACCCTGATCATATAGACCATTTATTGTATTATAAATGGTTTATTAAGATTATGTACATATGTATATTTTTCATTTTGTGAGCCACCCTGCTTTTTTGTGGGAATTAACTAGGCAAATTAGGTAAATAGATAACTAGATATAGCATATACTAATGTGCTTTAATTACTTAACAGTAAGCTCTATTAAATTCCTCATAACCTGCTTGATCTGATCCACAGTCAACTGCTTGTTAGATGTGGGTGTAACCAATCCCATGATCTTACTCATTGATAGATCCCTCTAATGCTCATCCACTAGTAACACTTGGGAGTCTCATTCCTTAAAGTTTGCTTATTCATTTCATCTGTGAAATTGGTTATAAAGTTTGTGTTGAGAGGGGTATTTAACCTTTTCACTCTGGGGACACCACTCTTAATATTTTATTTGGCTAATGCCTGATGACTTTATTGAGTTCAGATGGGACACCGTACACAAAGGGTTATGAAATTTTGCTATGTTTAACCATCTCATATTCAGTTTGTTCTCTAAACACATCTTGTATTTTAAACTGTTGGATCATTTGATGTTCAGAGTTGTAAGATTATCATTTTCTACCTGCCCTTTGGATGACTTCCAAGGGTCAGCTGCAGAACATAGTGTAATTCATAGAGTAATAGAGACTGAAGTATTTTCAGCTAGATTTATATTGAGTAAAGTAATGCAGTGTGTATACAGTATAAGCTTGGCAAAAGAAAATGTCTTCTGATCCGAAGTGGTTATGAGGAGTTGAATACCTTTCTAAGTCCTTACCCTTATTGAGCATAAAATTGAAATCATAAACAGATCATTAGAAGTCAGTGCACTTACCAGTTAAAGATTTGCTTGCATAGCCTGTTCACTAAGCATGTATGTGTTTTAACCCAATCACATGCATGAGGTGCGGCTTTGCTACACTCTGGTTTTTATGCATTTCAGTTTCTTAGTTATCATTAAATATTCTGTTATGCTGACCCATTGTAAAACATCCTTGTTTTCTTTCGTTTTGTATAAAATGCTCTATTCCTTTTTATTAAATAATAAAAAAGCGGTGTCCTTACATGTGTGTCTGTGTTCATGTAGCACCATTAGCATTAACCTCTTGTTTTGTCTCCTCCCACACCCCCTTCTGTCCCGTGTTGCGTCTCATAGTCCAATCCTCCCCTTCTATTCTGGTGTTGTCAACTCTGTGCCCGTCATACCCTGTGAAAAGTAAGTGAGTGGTAACCCATTCCCCAGTGGAGGAAACTTCTCATAGAAGTGGGAATGGCCATGTATACCCCCTGGGTAATGGCAGATACTATGATTCAT